GGCAGATTGATTGACTAGCATGGGCACGTTAGCTTCATTGATGGGTTGAACTGATAGGCAATTGATAGCTAAGTCATCCCTCCACCAACCCTGTCAGCACCTTCATCGCCTCATGCACCACCGTCCAGCGAACTGTGGCCAATTGCTGCGCCATTGACCGAATCAACCCACGCATATCATACTGATACCGAGGCCCCTCATTTACTCTCTCTCCGGTCAAAGACACCAGCAGACTTGCCAGATCGATACTCACGCGCTGCCCTCCCAGCTCGTGCACTCCTCCTCCATGCACAGCCCAACAGGCCAACGTTCCGAGGTACAAACACCACGGAAAATGAAACGCGTCCATAGCCTCCCAATTGCCCTGACGGCCGGAAACAGCCTCCCGAACCATCCACGCGGCTTGTTTTGCCGCTTGCATCGCTGAGTCCGAACGCACCCAGTGGCCCAACGCCCGGGCCGACCGGTCGCGATCAGTCTGCGTGACCGTCCGACCAAGAATACTGGTCGCGCCCGCTCCGATCTGGAGATCCAGAACTTCCGCTTGAAGAGCCAGTTGCGCTGCGCGATACAGCACCAGCGCCGCGCTATGAAAGACTCCCGCGCCGTCCGACGACCCGAGTGGACTATCGCCCAGCTTCATCGCCAGCCCGTCCGCATCAAAATCTGCCTTCCATAACTCGTACGAACGGCCCATGCGACGGGTCCAGCTTCCCACGCGATCCGGATCCTCGCCGCGCAGGGTCGTTTGATCCCGACGCTTGAGATCTGCCGACACGGACATCAGGCCGTGCAGAACCACCAGTCGCGCCAGCGGGTTCAATTGTCGCGGTCGCGGAACCGCTGCAGGCGTGATATAGCCTTTCAAGACGGTCAGAAACAAGGGCTCGGAATCAGGGCTCGAGGCAAAGCTTCTCGCCCAGGCTTCTGCGGTCGGAGCGTTCCAGAGCGCTGACGCGCAAGGTAAAGCGGCGCGGATTTCGAAAGCGGACATGCAGAGTGATTGCGAGAAGAGCACCGCGTGCTGCACGTCCCACATAAAGCAATGCATGGCCAGCCGCTTCCGCTGCTCGGCCTCCATGGCTTGGTGCCAGCTACTTGCGAGGTCCTCGTCGGATAACGCGGGGGACGCGGTCGAGCGGATCGTACAGCAGGTGCTGCGTCGAATGAGCTTGATCAGCACACAATGGAAGAGCTGCGCTCGTTCGCGTTGCTTGGGACCCGCCCGCATCTTGCCAAAGCAGTCGATCAGCAACATCGCTTGCAGAATCCACAAAGGTGGTTGAGGTGAGAAATCGAGATGGCAGAAGAGCTGAGGTCGCAAGAAGTCATGAATTCCCACGGCCAGCTGGTGAGCCTCGCGGCTGCTGTAGGTGGCGCCCATGGAGAGGACCGCGCCCAGGAGAATGGGGTCCACGGTGTTTGGATCGAAGGTGGGCGCATGAATGAGTGGATAGGTCGCATTGAACCGCGTGAAGAAGAGATCGCAGTACTGCTGGAGCGCTGACAGAGAGAGAAGGGCTGAATCGAGGGGCGTAGGCTTGCCATCCAATCCTGACGGCGGATTCCGAGCCACCAAATCGAGCAGACCCTGACTGGCTTCTTCTGAGAGACATGGAAGGTGAGGTGCTGGAGGATTGTCTGTGTTTGTGTCCAGTCCGCACAGCCAATCAAGGGAGGTATCCGGGCTGCGCTCGACAAACGAGGCTGCCTGCAGCAGGACAGCCGATGGATCAGGGTCCGGAACAGTCCAGGCCAGCAGATCCGGTTCTAACGGTATATCGAGGGGAGGGAAGGCGTCGTCCAAAGAAGCCACATCAAACAGCCAGTTGTAGTTGTTCGTCGCGGCAAACGGCATGTTGAAGTCGGTCGCTATCTGACCTTAGTATTGGCTTGCAAGGCAGCAAAGAACGTCTTACCTGTATCGAGATTGAAGAAGTCCTCGATCGAGCCTTGTTCGAAGCTCCAGGATCCATCGGCTGCGTCAAATTGCCCAGGTATAGGCTCAACGTATGGCTCGAAGGGTCCATTCGGAAGCATGGGCGCTAGAAGTGGATCTGTATCATCCAAGGACAGCGTCGTCGGATCACTTGTCGAGCGAGGGGGGGATACTGGCGCCCCAGGGATATGGTCCGACCCGTGAGAGCTGGTAACGGATAACGCGCACGAGGAGGCCGGTGAGAACTCCATCGAAGCGACTGACTCCGAAGCAGAGCACTCGGGCATGTTGTTTCGTGGAGCGCTGGCTCGGGACTGTCGCTTCGGCGGTCGGACAACGATATTACCATTATCAGCCCGGCGCGTCCTCTTGCGCGTCTCCAGCACTCCCAACCCGGGGCCTCCAGCTTCTTCATCTCGCTTGGCATGGCGTAGGAGATGGCGACTGAGAAGATCGGGACGGTGAAAATGTACCGAGCAGCGCTCACAGACGTAGCCCTGACGGGCTTGCTCGTGGTTCAAAGCATGGCGTCGCAGATGTTCAGCACGCGTGAAACTTTTGCCGCACTCGGGCCAGTGGCAGACGTGGGACTTCATGAGGGGCCATTATCAGCCGGAAGAAAAACAGACACAAAGGTCGCGTAGCCAGATCGCCGCCCTCCCTCCAACTCTGAGAAGATTTAAATACCTAGCGAGGTCGGATGCATGGGTGCATGCATGCACGATGGCGCATTGATAAGCGGGGAAGAGAGGGGGTGGCGCTACGCGAATGACAGCCAGCGGATCCTCCCCTCTTATCAGCATAGATACGGAGTCAGGGTTTGATATCAGGTCGATAAGCAAATTCACTGGTCTACTTTATCAATCTATTGACGGACTATAGAAAATAGCGCCATTCTGGACTCCGCTCCCCTTCGGCCAAGTGCCGAGTCTCCACGGCCTCTGCTCGCCGTCGCACGCCTTGGCTTCGGTCTCGTCGCCGATTCTCAAGCCTGAAATACACGCTTAACGCCGTTATCACCACGATGGCCACCCCGTTACAGCAACACGTCGCCACGAGAGTAGGGATATATCTATCACGATTAGCTTGGTACTGCTGAGGGTGTCAAGGAACCTACTTAGGGGCATATTCCGTGCGGAAAGTTGCTGCGCTCAGCACTCCGGCCAAATTTCCCAACCCGACCAGGAAGCCTGTATTGGCCGCGCGGGAGCTTTCGTGCACGTTATTGTTGTTGTGCCAGGCATGAACCAGACACGAGGGGATGTAGGCTCCCGCTGCCATCAGGAAACAGGCAAAGTACGCCACAGCTTTGTTATTCAGCACGTCAATGGTTGCCAGGATGATCATCCCGATCAGCGACAGGACCAACGAGAAGACCGTGTGGAATCCTCGCTCGCGAAAGTAGTCCGATGACCATGCGACGCAAAGCAGCACGACTGCACCTACAAGACTCGGCGCAACAGTCCAGAGGTTGGTTTTGACGGTCGAATAACCAAGACGTCCGACGATCTGGACGGTCAGCGTCATTCCTCGAGCTCATGAGCCTGCGGTTGCGGCTTACCAGGGGGAAGAAATTCATGGCTGTCGCATAAGCTACTGGATATGTGAAGCAGACCACACACCAGACCAGGAACTTCCAGTCGGAGAACATCTGAAACGCAGTCTTGAGATTCAGCCCTGTTTCAACCTCAGCCGAGGTGTCGCGGAGGATTCGGGCTGTTGCGGCTGCTCGTTCTCGCTCCGACAAGAACCAGGCTTTTTGCGGTCCGTCGGGCAGACAGAAGAACGAGACAATGCCGGTCAAGAAAGTCATGCTGCCTTCGATGATGAACAGCCACTGCCATCCTTTGACGGCAGGGTCGTTGATCTGAAACACCCCGAACGAGATGAGTCCACTGAAAGCCGAAGCAAGGACGGCAAAGCACTGTATGATAGCCAGACGGAAGCCCATCTGGTCGCGGGTGTAGAACAGAGTTAGGTAGAAGGCTGCACCGGCGAAGAAGCCTGCTTCAAAGACACTGAGACAATCAGCACAGCACCTGGACCTGTATGTTTGGGCCGGTCGCTTACCCCAAGATCATCCGCACGGCGATCATGCTGCCGAAGCTCTTGACTGCACATTGGCACAGAGCTAGGATTCCCCATACGACGGTCACTGTCTGGGTCAGCTTTGATCCGGATCGTGCCAATGACTGAACCTACTGAATGACAGCGTGATGCGACCGGAGTAACGCTTGAGGAGGAGATTCCATGGCAGGTCGAAAAGTCCAAAGGGGATGTAGAAGAGGAGCACGAGCAGCGAATAGTCATTGCCCTTGAGATGAATATCCTCGTCGAGTCCGTCGGTTTTCGCATTGGCCAGGTTGCTCTGCTACGGTTAACATCTGCCCTATTCAACATTGGGGTTAATCTTACCCGATCCATGCAATCGAAGAAATACATCTATCAAGTTCAGTGTCTAGCAGTCTGGTATGATGGTCCGCATACTCACTAAACAGAGCAGGGGAAGCACGAATATGTCCACCTTCCGCACTGCGACCGGTTAGGGCTGGTCTCGCAGCGCAGCGATCGACATACCAACTGATCTCTCGGCTTCGTGGTCAATGTAGACCTCATTCTGGCCGGTCTTCATCTCGGACTCTGATGGCAGAGGCGCACCTTTCTTGGGCTTGTCGATGGATGACATGATGCTGGCAATGGGAGTTACACCACGCCCCCTTGCGATGGCTGGGACGAGGCGGCGAGGTGATATATCCAATAGTGGTATCTCCCTTGCATCTGTGGTGTAACCCACCCTGCCTATCGATATTCTTCTTGATAACCGACTAATCCCATTTCGACTTTCCCCGCATCCATGTTATCAGTCTTATCGCAGACGGTGGTCTGGCCTGTTTGTTCCCCATTCTTCGCATCCCCCACTCTTGTCCGCTGCTGAACTGCTCGCTCCAAACCCCTCGGTATTCGTTCCGACTATCCTCCACGATAGTGACCCCCTCAATGAGCGATAAAGCCCGCGATAAAGGATATATTCACTGGACAATGGCAATCAACCCCTCACCCATCCAAGCTCGTGTTTCCCAGCTCAGTCAGCAAGATGTCTCCCAGCGCCCCTCCAATCCTTGATTTCTCCGTGTTCTACGGCGGCGATAGTGCTGCAAAGGCACAGCTCGTCGATCAGATTCGCGAATGCTGTCTGTACAATGGCTTCTTCCAGATCACGGGCCACCGCGTACCGCGCGAGCTCCAGCAGCGCGTCATGAGCTGCACGAAACGATTCTTCGATCTTCCTCTCGAGGAGAAGGTTTTGGTTGACAAGAGTACGTGCGCCCAGTTTTCCACCGCTTGTTTCTTTCCCGCGCTAATGCACAGTTGCGGTAGATCATAACACTTGGAACCGTGGCTACGAGTTGCTCCGATCGCAGATGCTCGAAGTCGGCACCGGGCCCGAGTTGAAAGAGGGATACTACGTGGGCGAGGAGATTCCCGAGGACCATCCCTATTTCGTGCAGAAGAAGCTGAACAGCGGCCCCAACCAGTGGCCGCCTACGGTCCCCGACAAGGAGGAGTTCGAGCGCACGACCATGGAATACTACCACGCGGTGTTCGATCTGGCCAAGGACGTGCTGGGCGCGTTGGCGCTGACGCTCAACGTGTCGGAAGACTACTTCGACCCATTGACCGACGGAGCGGTCGCCACGATGCGATACCTGCATTACCCGGCCCAGCCGAAGGATGCGGACGAGAAGCTGAACCGGGGCATTGGCGCACACACCGACTTTGGTTGTATTACATTACTGCTGCAAGACGAGGTTGACGGGCTGCAAGTTCTGGACGCGCCGACCGGCGAATGGCTCGATGTAAGTCACTGTCCTGGGCCTTGCCAGGGTTTTAGAGGATACTAACGGAAAAAGGTCGAGCCCGTGCCCGGCGCCTATGTCGTCAACCTGGGCAACCTGTTCATGCGCATGGCCAACGACCGATACAAATCGAACATCCACCGGGTGATCAACAAGTCCGGCAAGGAGCGCTACAGCATCCCGTTCTTCTTCAGCGGGAACCCGGATTACCTGTGCGAGTGTCTGCCCAACTGCCGGCAGCCGGGCGAGGACCCCAAGTACCCGCCGATCACGGTCGAGGAGATGGTGACGGCGTCGTACAAGGAGAGTTACGGGCGGGCGGAGAGGTACAAGCAGGAGATGAAGGCGAAGATGGAGGTGATGGCGCCGGTGGCGGCTGTTGGGGCGTAGTTCGCTGCCTAGCTTGAGTTGTACATATGAGCCTTTATCAAATCTTCTAGGTCAACCCATGTCATTTACGGTACTCTTCCAACCAAGTTTCTACTGCGTTATTCTCGCCACACCTCGAGACGCCTGCATCCCATCTTGCCAATCAGATGGAGGATGGGACCATAAAAGGACGTGCTATACTGCCTTCAGAAGTGGAGGCTTGATATCAACCCCCCACCCTTGGGCGTCGATAAGATCCCCGTGGCTGTTGCTGCGTAATGCGGAGGTGGTCCATGCACCGCCAGCCCTAACTCAGCGGGTATAGTATTTGAGAGAGTAGAGAGCAGTCGTTGATGATATGTGATCAACATGGTCGTCCATCCCGAGAAGTCTGAAGACAGCACCATGGACGACGTCCAACGAACCCTTCTCGAGAGCGAGAGCCAAAGCATCAAGCCGGAGAAAGAGACCGCAGACGTGATCCGAGAGACTCGCCATGAGACTGACAACCACAGCCTTGAGGGCGAGACGAAAGGCGTGATCTTCGACGACCCGGACGTGCAGCAGTTCTACGGCACGTCCACAACGGAAGCATACCGGCTCAAGTCGGAACTGGTCGGGCGATGCATGGAGGAGATCGGGATGGGGCGGTACGCTGCCTCCCTGTTCATCTGTTCATCGTCAGACGACACGAGACTAACGTGCACAGCTTCCAATGGAAACTCTTCGTGGTCACGGGGTTTGGATGGATCGTGGATAATGTACGTCCCCCTCGAGTACAGCTCCTTCATGCACTGACAAGTCAGTTCGCATCCCAAGGCATCAGCGCCGTGCAACCGCCCATCGAACTCGAATTCCCCGGCATCGTGCAGGTCAGCTATAGCTCGGTCGCCTACTACTTCGGCCTGATCCTGGGAGCGTCTTTCTGGGGCATTTCCAGCGATCTGATCGGCCGCAAGCCCGCGTTCAACTGCACGTTGCTCATCGCGGGAATCTTCCTGTGTGGTGCAGCGGGGACGATGAACTTCGTGGGGTTCAGCGCGATGTGGGCGATGGTGGGCACGGCGGCCGGGGGGAATGTGCCGGTGGATAGTATGATCTTTCTGGAGTTTGTGCCGGGGAGGTGAGTTTTTCGATCATTGATTGTGGTGCAAAGTGTGCTGTGCTGTGCTGTGCTGACAGGACAGTCACCAATGGCTGCTGACTGCGCTCTCTGCGTGGTGGAATCTGGGCCAGCTGATTGTCTCGCTGGTGGCGTGGGTGTTTCTGGCCAACTTCAGCTGTGCGGCGGATTCGACGCCGGAGACGTGTCGTCGGGGGGATAATATGGGCTGGTGAGCTCTTCCTCGGCATAGGAAGACAGGATGATGCTAACGCAGTACCAATGCAGGAGATACACACTCATAACCCTGGGCAGCCTCTCGCTGGCCTTCACCCTCATCCGCACCTTCGTGTTCAAACTCCCCGAGACCCCGCGATACCTCCTCTCCAAGGGCCGCGACCAAGCCGCCGTGGACGCCGTCAACCACGTCGCGAAGGAGAACGGCAAACCGCCGCCGTTGACCCTGAGCATGCTGCAGGACATCGACGCCCGACTCGGCATACCAACCACGACGTCGGCCGCCCTCTCGACGACCGAAATCCTCCGGGAGAACATGAAAGACTTCAAGGGGGAACACTACCGCGCCCTCTTCGCCACCAAGTTGCTGAGCAGACACACCGTGATCATCTGGGGAATCTGGCTGACCATCGGTTCGTGCACCCTTACCGTCCAGTCCACCCCCTCCCCCAACTATATTAACCCGAGAATAAATGCAGGAATCGCCTACCCGCTCTACTTCAACTTCCTGCCCTCCTACCTAGCCACGAAATTCGCCTCCTCGGCCTCGCTAACAACCACCTACCGCAACTACTGCATCGAATCCGCCGTCGGCGTCGTCGGCCCCCTGTCCGCGGCATACCTGGTCACCACGATCTTCGGCCGCAGATGGATGATGGGCCTCTCGTCCGTCGTCACGGGGGTGTTCCTGTTCGCCTACGTGGGCGTCAGCAACCCGACGTCCTCGTTGGCGTTCGCGTGCGTCACGGGCATGTTGGGGAATTTTGGTGCGGTCCCTCCTTTCGTGCTTGGCCCAGCAGAGCTCAGCCCTACCTCCTCCATCACGTGTAACACTCCTGCTAATGAACCACGGCAGAATACGCAATCATGTACGCCTTCACCCCGGAATCCTTCCCCGCGCCTCACCGCGGCACCGGCACCGGCACGGCGGCGAGCCTGCTGCGCTTCGGCGGGCTGTGCGCGAGTCTCATCGCCTCGCAGACGGGGTTCACCCCGGCCCCGATCTATGCGTCGGCGGCGCTGTGGGTGGTCGTTGGGGTGGTGTGTTTGGGGTTGCCGTTTGAGACGGCGGGGCATGGCTCGATTTAGTGCTTGTCTTACTTATGGATAGGGGGGGATAGGGGGGGCTTGGAGAGCGGGATTGGGTGAGGGAAAGGGGCTCGGGGCCCGGGTTATCCGGGGAAGGGTTAGGGGTAAGATGCTGAGTTTGTTGCGGATTGTGTATTGTAATGGGAGTTTTATGCACGAGCGAGAATGGTTATTCGATAGTATGCACTTTTTGTTTGACCTCGGCTGTTTGATGAGACCTGCATCGTGCTGCCTGAGGTGTCCAAGTGTGACGAAGGCTTATTGGCTGAGTCTTTTGCTATATTTAGGTAGTGGTTTGGTTGGCTTCCCCATGTGTGGTCACGTGATGTGGGCTCTACTTGCTAATAGGAGAAGTATGCAGTACACAGTGCCATCTTGGAAGGAAGGCTCTCACCACAGCTTTGCTCTGGCTGTGGATTGGGGTCGGGAATGAGGTTGATGTTGCTGGGGAGCTGAAAGGAAGGGGGATCCGGGGGTTCTCCCCCGGGACGGTATATTGTAGTACTCAGGCCTGAGGTTACTGGGAAGTTGAAAGGAGGAGGTGTTCTCCCGGTTTGCATTCAGTATATGGATACTTGCTTCGGGATCAAATGTTCTGCATGGTCTTTGGAAATGTGCAACATACAGTGAAATACATGTGGCAGAAGATGGTTGCATTTCTTAATAGATTGACTATCCAATATGGTCACATGAGCCTAACAGCAAAAGTGCTTAGAAAGTTGTTTAAGGAGTACTTGAGATATGTTCACAAAGTACTTCAAGGATAATGTCTAAAAAGCGCTTGAACATCTTGGTTGAAATAGTGCTTGAGAAGGTGTAAGTATGGGCCTTGTTGGTACACTGGGCCCGCTGAGGGTGTTTCGACAAACCCTGGCCAGCGGGCGTCATCCGCAGACAGGCCGTGGTTATGACTTATGCTCGAATTCTGATACTCACTATCAAGCATGGACGCAGCTGTGGACACATCGGGTGGAAAAAGAGGTGCATGAAGAATGTCGAAATTTTCTTTTCGCGTTCCCCTTTCGGCAACTTCAGCTGCCGATCGCCCACAACCCCATTCGCGCGCTGATCGCTTTTCCCACGTCGGATGCTCAACTCTAGCTTCGATCCAAGGGCAGGTGTCCACTTCGTTCAGTAGCTCATGCCGATCGCATCTTATCTGATCTATACACCGTGGGAAATTGAAGATGTCTGGTCGCAGCTTATTTTCGGATATTGAGTTGGGGTGTGGGACGGCATAAAGCACGGATAGACAAAGTAAACATTATATTCTATATAGTCATGTCATCGATGCGACCGGAGGCAGTCGATCGGGGTATAGTTTATTGTGGTGTTGTTGACCTTGGGGGGTTACACCGGCCGTGGGATGTGGTAGCTGATGCGCTGGGTGAGATGGTTGCAGAAATTGCTAGTCCTCGACCAACAACTTTCGCACTGTCCTCATACTCGCCCATGGGTCCATTGCTCCGACTGCGAGATCTCTCGAACATTCGCCAAGGCCCCAGTTGAGCGGTCTTTTGCTGCTGCAGTGTCTAATGACACGGCGTGGTCCCGACCAGTCGCTTCATGCGTGGTTGGCGGGTTGCCCATGACCATTCTGAGAATAATCTCCTCATAGATCTCAGTAATGGGTGACTGTCCTATATGGCTCGACCGAGCAGGACTAGATTGCGGTCCTTGCTGTGCGTGTGTTCACGGCCCTCCGACCTCCGACTTCGTCTCGTCTGGCCTAAACAGTCGTCACATGGACCTCCCGCTTCACGCTAATCTGCGGCATGTATGTCTGCTTCGGCAATATCGGAACCTGGTCCAGCCCTGTGGAAGAATACCGATCATTACCCGCTTCGACGGTGAAAAAGGTGGTGCCGTACAAACGATCTTCCAAGGGGATGCGGTCCGAGTCCTGCCGCTGGCTCGACTGCAGCGGCATCGACTTGCTGCGCTTGCCGCGCGAGGAGCTGGGCCAGGTGTTCTGGTAGGTTGACGGGCGGAACTTGCGCAGCAGGGGGCGGAGGGTGGCCATACTGCCGGCGAAGATCCCCAGGCCGGTCTCGATGTTCGACCAGATGGCGACCGGGGTGGTTTCGTACAGGAAGTCGGTCTTGAGGAGCGTCGGGATGTACGGGATGCGGACAATGACAGCGACGGATGCCCTGGTTGGAATTAGCAGGTGTCTGACAAACGGAACCGGATTTCATACACGCAGGCCATGCTGAGCAGGCCAGCCACCGCAATCTTCACATCACTTTGCATCTTCAGCTTCCGAACCAGAAGGATAGGCAGAACCGCGATCGTCATGTCGAACACAGCCGACGTTGCACTGAAGGCATAGAGCGCATCCATCGCAACGTGTGTGGATATGCAAGTGCCCTTGCCGACCTCCTCAGTGCTAAGACGAAGGTACCAAAAGGCCATCGGCTTGCATTGTGTGAGGAGGATTACGAAGAACGCAAACCCAGCAGCGACGACAAGGCCGACGACGACCCCGATGACGATTCGGTGAACTCGGTGGATGGTGATGCGTAGAATGAAGATGGATACGGAGATTTTGCACAAGATGGAGCCAATCGCGTAGCCGATGTCGCAATAGAACCAATACTAGAGCAACTCAGTCAGCATCGAGTATCCTGCGTGGTGCGTTTTTCACAGACGACATACCTTCATGGCGGTCACTCGATGGTGGTTATCCAGTTGGTCGAGGTGTTTGCCCGTCCCCCAAAGACTACCACCAATCATACATGCGGAGAAAAAGACATAGAAGATGTAGGCCAAAACCATAATTCCATCGTCCCAGCCAAAAGCCTTGACGATCCGAAAGCGCACATAGCATCGTAGGACGGTCGTGATGGTTGCCAGGGCCAGGAAGACCGCGGCAACCGCACGCACGGCTAAGCTGCGATCTTCGGCCATGGTGGTGAGCAGGGGTGAGAATTCCAGAATCCCAGACTGCCGCGCTGGGCCGGGGAAGACATTTTCTTTATCATCTCAAACACGGCGTGGCCGAAATGACGTTCGCTTCGGGGCAGAGATCAAAAAAAGTGCCTGGCTTCCGTCTCGAAAGGCTTGAACCATGGAAAACGGGCGTTACAGACCCTCTCCCCTCACCAGTGGTCGCGACACTGAGACCCACTGTCCCATCGGCCGAAGCAGGCCCTCTAACCGCTGATTGGTTTGCCGGCTACAGACGGACTGATTCAAGATTGACTATCGATCGGGATTCCATGCTTGCAGTGGAGCCTTCGCGTGCCCGAGCGCTCGGGTAGAAAAATTTCCCTCCATCCAAAACTCCAGCGCACCACCCAGGCAAACCGCGGCCCAGGCCCGCCCACGTGGAAAGGTTTGTTGTGGCCCTCGCTACCAGAATCCTGCCATGCTTCGGATCCTCTCCTTCCAGATGGTTTGTCGCATTCGCAGAGTCGCAACCCCAGCCGATGCTTGTCCCGGGAATCATCTACCAGGCCCATCTCGGCAATAATTGGCGTGAACGCTGGTGATTACAGCTGAGAATGCACGGATCTTATCACGTAACAGTTAGATTAGTGGAGATGAGAACACGAGAGAATGCGATCTAGCCGTCCTTGATTTCGCTAGTCCGCTAGTATATTGGTAGGCTGTCGCCATTTATTGGCAAACGTTCATTTGGGCTACTGTCGCATCATGATCGGAACTCTGGTCTGCGGTTGAGACCCAGGTGTTCACGTGGACATGTTCCACCTTTGCGCCTGTGGCCAGTGCCGAACTGATAAACATGTGATCCAGCTGCTCACTGTTCTGGTCATATAGGTAGGTGTATCGCTCCGTTGCCGCAAGGCCAGCGACTTCATCGATCTCCTGCAGGCCCACCTCTGTGAACACGTCGAAAATGTCCGTGAACGAATACTCATTGTAATCTCCGGCCACAATGACTCTAGCGTCGGCCACCTCCGCGAAAAGAGAGCTCACAAAGTCCTAGTTGCACCAAGATGATTAGTGTCAACTAGCTTCGGGGGGAACATGGCAATTTCACCGAGACTTACCGCAATCACACTAAGCTGCGAAGCTCGCTTCTCCACAGCACCGTTGACAGGTGGCCGGAGGTCGCCTTCCAGAGACGTGCTGCCGTACTTGGAGGACAGGTGCACGTTGATGGTGTAGAACGTGTTCCTCCCATCCGCCCTCTCCCACTGCGCCACCAGGGGCTTCCGACTCGCATCCCAGGCCTCGTTTGTGGGATCAATCAACCCCGGGTTGTAGCTCAACGTGCCTCCGGATTTAACAGTCGTGCCCGTCGTGCTGGTGCCTGGGTTAGCGTCGCGCAGCCGCACGACCTCAGGATTGTACAGGTAAGCGCATCGGATATTGCCACCACTTTCGCCGCCGTTGGTGCCGTCGACCGGATCGATGTCAAAGAATTCATACTGAACACCGCCCTGCTCCGCGATCGAGCTGACCAACGTTGAGAGTGTCACATTGGCCGATACCACTGAGCAAGAATGAGCGCCAGGATTTCATCCAAGCGAGATAGGGAGCACATACCACCGTCATTTGTCGAACCATCATTATCCTGAATCTCTTGGAGAAAGACGATATCTGGGCTTTGCAGCTGATTTGCGATATGGCCAGCGACGCCAGGGAGCGTCGATGAGTCCGGCCCCAGGTTGTCCACATTGTAATCGCCAAAGGTGATTTTGCATTTTTTGTTCGAGACCAACGACGTCTTGGGTGCTTCGGTCGCGTTCGAGGCTGTTACGGACAACGCGGTCGACGGTAGTAGGGCGTAATAGCCGTACGCTTGAGTGATGATTCCAGTGATATCCCCGAGTGTATCTCCCAACTTGACATCGGTCGGGTTCTTGCTTCCATCAAGAGGCGAGCCGATGAAGAGTGCTTCGGGGTTAGAGTCTAACGACACACGAGTCAGTGATAAAAGCTCTTGATGAAGGGCTCGGAGCAACCTACCATTAGCAGTCATCGTCAACCCTCCACGTTCATTCTTCCCCGATACCGCCCAATCCCCGATGACCCAAGTATCGCCGTACGAATTGGCCTTCGAGATGGCTGTCAGTCCCGACAAGCTAACAAACTCTGCACTGAGACTCTGCCAGAAGTCCATCCCGTAAGCGGTGGTATCCAAGACCGGATTGGCCGTCGAGAGCTGGCTGCTGTTTCCTGGCAGGCTGAACGGGTCCCCGTTGTCGAGCGATGTGAACTGCTCTGTGGGAGGGCTCCGTCCCTTCCCACCGATCACAATGGGAGTCACCGTGTTGCCGCTTGAGACCACCGTGATGTCGGTCGCGGACTCGATCTCGGTCAGGTAGACATAGCTTGACGTGGACCGATACTCGGTGACCTTGCCGCTAAGGGTGACGATGTCTCCCACGGTGACGCTCTTGGTCACGCTGCTTCCATAGACATAGACTGAGTTCGAGGTCTTGTCGTCAGAGTCGGGACTGGTGGAGCGCAGGTAGAACCCAGAGGAACCTTTGGCAGTCACCAGACCCTCCAGACCAGTGACCTGAGTACCGGCATATGGAGAGATGTACCGGTCCCCAGTGATCTCGTTGATGGTGACTGCGAGCGCCGTCTGCACGAGCAATGCGACCGTGGAAAGTGGGGGAGTTCGCATCTTGTGGAATGGCGGTCTTGGTGTGTGCTTCGTTGATCTGAGTTCTAGATAGCAGCCCTCACGGTGGTTTAAATGTGCTTCCAGAGAAGCAGTGTCTCATGATGGCAGATGAGAGGGGAAGTGCTTGTGGTTGCGAAAGTGAGAGTTGGACCAGTGAGGGGAAATGATAACACCCACGTTCCCCTTGAGCAATGCTGCAGCTAAGAGGGCAAGGGACTCGGGACGATGTTACCTCACTCGGGAGCCGGCGGAATTGTGAGATTAAGAATGTATAGCACAGGCTGATATAACTCCCTGCCAATTCATTTATAACTTCATTTATGACTATCTAAATCCTGCATGGTACCTTATCAACAACACCTTGGCACTCCTCAACTCTGCATAAGAATCATCACGCTAAAAACACACCATTCTACAGACCAAGCTTCTCACCCAGTCATGCGCCCACATTTCTGCAGGGTGACAACTAGCGCCGAACTACCCATGCAGGTACTATAGACGGCTATCAGGGTCATGCAGTTCCGTAATCTTGCACCTGAAGAACATCGGGCAGCGCCGCTTCCGCATGTCTATCACATTCTCAAGCATGCTTCCCAGCATCTAGTTGCGCCCAACATCCTGCTTCAGAGACACGATGCGGTTCAGCACGACGCGGTCTTCCGTGGAATCCGAATCGACAGCCTAGGATAAAATTAGCGAAAAATAATCCAGCAATCATGAAAGAGTCACTCACGAAGTAGGCCACACGCATGCCCTGGAAACGGACACTCTCCGGTCCACTCTTGCCCTTCTCCTTCTCGCCGGCAGCCTCCGGCCAAGGAGCCCTCCGACGGACCTCATCGAAGCCCGCCTCAATCAGAGCATCCTTGTAGATGGTCTCACTGTTGGGGTTGATATCGTTCAAGAAGCCACCCTCGGCAGCGCCGGGGTCCTCCGACTTGAAGAGCGGGTCGTGGATACGGACCTCCACCTTGCGCGAGTTATCTGGGACCCACTGAATGTAGGTCTTGGGCTTGCCGCCCTCCTTATCCCAAACAGCCCGAATCTCAGTGACCTTACCTTCAGCGTCCTTGGTGAAGGTGGTGGCCTTGACGGGGTAGGGTGCGCGCCAGAGACCGACGCTCTTGCCGGGGGCCAGACGGAAGTAGCCCTTGGCATCCTCCTCGCGGAAATCGGACCGATCGATGTAGATCGTCTTGGTCAGGCGAATCTCGTGAGTGCCCATAGCAGGGTTCTTGGGAGAGAAAGGAATATCGCAGTTGAGCTGGCCATCCTCAACCGTCTCAAAGTCCTCAATGACCACTGGAACAGGGTCGACCACAAGCATCAACCGGGGAACACGGCTCTCGAGGTATGTCCGAACCGTCTGCTCGAAGCGCGAGATCTTGATCAGACTGAGAGCAGTCGTCACACCGAGTTCGTTGATGAAGGAGAGGATCGCCTCAGGGGGCACACCACGGCGGCGCAGAGCAATCAGCGTGTACAGGCGAGGATCATCCCAGCCGCGGACGTATCCGTCGTCCACCAGCTTCTTCAGCTTACGTTTCGACATGACGGTACCACTGACATTGAGGCGACCGTATTCGCGCTGCATGGGCTCGTAGACGCCCAGGGTGCTGTTCAGCCACTCGTAGGAAGTGCGGGAAAGCTGGAACTCGGTCGTGCACAGACTGTGCGTAATGTTCTCAAAGCTATCACACAGACAGTGTGCCTAGTGCAGTGTTAGCAAGCATCAACAAGCATGCTAGACCTTACATACGAAATCGTAGGTGGGGTAAATGCACCACTCGTTCTTGGTGCGGAAGTGCTCCTGCTTGAGAATGCGGTATGCGGCCAGATCCCACATCTGAGGGTTGGGGTCCTCAATATCCTGAAGCATGCGCAAGAAAGCGGTCTGGGGCTCGTATTTGCCAGCCTTCATATCCCGGAACTTCTGGAGGTTTGTCTCGACATCCTGCTCGGCGTGCTTGCAGCGGTATCTGGGGCCGTGGTTCTCTCCTCCACGCTGGAGCTTAATCTCGGTGTCGCTGCAGTGGCAAACGTAGGCTCTGCCCATGGTAATCAACTTCTCAGCCTGGTCGTAGAGCTTCTGGAAGTTGTCGCTCGAGTGGGTGATAGCGGCGGGCTTGAAGCCTGTGAATCGACCCTGTCAGCACACACAATTCACCACCTCAATGCGCGCCTCATACCTAGCCACTGAATGATCTCCTCAATAGCCACAAAGTATTTCTCCTCCTCAGCCTCCGGGTTGGTATCATCAAATCTAATCATTAGTCGCGTTGCTCACTCGAGTCGGGCACGACGGGAGGAATACCTAAGAATCTTCGCAATCGTTAGCAGCATCCCCATTCCAATCCAAAATCGAACATACCGTCTTTCCACCATAATGTCTAGCGAAACCAAAGTTGACAGCGATCGCCTTCGCGTGACCCAGGTGCAGGTATCCATTGGGCTCCGGGGGAAAGCGCGTCAACGGCACAACAGACCGCTCCTTGTAGACCGCGGCCAGGAAGCCCTGCTTGAACATGGCATCCGGGTCGATCTGCTCCTCCTCGGGCTTGGGGGCGGCCGCAGGCTTGGAGGTGGCCGCGGCCTGCTTGGGAGCAGCGGCCGCGTTGGCCGCCTTCGCCGCCTTTTTGGCACGCTTCTGCAACCGCTTCTTCAGCTCTCCCTTGGAGACCATCTCGCCGGTCTCTTCATCGAGCTGAAGCTTGGCCGTCGCTTCAACGACAGCGTCCGTCATGATGGCGATTGGTATGGAGGGATCGAGGAGAAAGGTCGCGTGGTGACGATGCTGAATGACAAAAGATTGGACTTATCGGCGGGGTGGAGGGGAAACTTTCCCGTGCGCGGCTTATGTCATCCGTCGGGTGCAGATCACGTGGTAGCGTCCGATAAGCGCCCAATGAATCTTCTTATCATTATGGTTGTCGACCTCGACAGCGTTAAGTGTTGATTACTGTTTAGTCGTTACTTAGCGTGAGTAAATGACGTCGATGTGAGTGTTTGAAACACTCTTGCTAGTAGCACAATCAAGTGTCGATGAGTACTTGCGTGGTTTTCGACATTGTACCAACCCAGACACAGCCATCGTGACTCATTTCGGGTGATTCATTATATATCGGCGTTCCATTGGCGTCGGCACTTTAGTCCCGTCTATATGACTCAATACTTGTATAGATCCTAGGCAAAGTCTACCAGAGCGACCTTGATCTTGACTCTTTTGCTATGAAATAAACCATTGAGTCATCTAAGCGCAATTGACTGGCTAAAGCGTGTCACCGTATGGGTATCTATCGTATGTCCAAATCATCAATATGTACAAGGCAAGAACGTAACTTTTATCTTGGCGACACACTATGTCGGGCTTTACGGATAGCGCAATTTCCCAAGCGTGTGAGTTCGGCCACGAAGTCTGCCACCATTGTCATATGTGCCGCTTCGTTGTCTTTCAGGCGTTGTAGACGAAAGCCCTTGATGAGGTCGGGGACTGAGCCAAGAAGTTTAAGGTCTTCCTCCGCACGCGGGTCGAGTGGGAATAGCAGGATGTTGCAAAATATTGTGAGAATAGCAGACATAGGGTAAAAAGTGATCATCCTGTCGATGGTCAGTGTAAAGAGTCAATTGACGGTTGCGAGTATAGTATATGGGAAGCAAGACAAAGGAACTCACCAGAATGCCTCAGGGAATATTGAATCGATAGTTGGACGCAGAAACAACAAGGTGGAGCGACTTGCTTCTACCGCAAGTAGCATGCTCGTGTTTATTCCCTCCATGACCCCAGTGTCGGTATTTGCCCAGGATTGACAGCGGCCCGTCGCTCGATGAATCGTCACCATCAGATAGTGGTATTCCAGCCGAGAGACTATAGCTTGCATGCGAAGAAAGGGATTCTCATGACTTTCGAAGGAATGCCCTAAGGATGGGCGGAATTTGGGCGGAACGTCCATGCGCCAACGCTCCAGCTCGTCGTCGAGCTCCCGAATGTCCTGCAACAGCTGGGCATCGGATTTGAGCAGGGACTTGGAGGAGTACAGTGCCCGGTATGCCTTTGACTTGATCACAGTCATTCTTAGGTCGACCGGAGAGTGAGGGATACCTATGTAATCAAAGATGGATCTGTCGGCACCTTCGTCTTCGAGATATTGTATCTGCATGTAATTGGCGGGAAGAGAGAGGTTGCAGTGTTCGTCATCGATGATCGGCGGCTGACCCGATCGGAGACAGATTTCCTTGTCATGGCTATAGCAAAGCCAGAACAGGTTCCGCAGCTGTTTGTGATAACGCCAAACTCGATCCTCGACATCGTGTGGTGACGGGGGAGCCGGTCGCTCGTTGGGCAAAAGCTGGGCTCCTAAAGAAAACATGACGCGGCAACCCATGGCGTGACATTGATTGGCAGCTTGAAGTTGACCAGAGAAGACTCGATTCATGGTCTTGACGTGTCAGTGTGCTTTGTAATCTTTATTCGGGAGATTCCAAACCGCACAGGAAGTGTAAACTGACCAGCATTAACATTGTTTGAAAGGTAGACAGGCTGACGTTGTTCATGATTTGAGGCAAAAGGTTCTGTGCTTTGACCGCATAGATGTCCGCGTCCACCGCAGGGAGGTTATCTTGAGGCCGGAGGATCATTGACATAAGTGCTAGGAATGTCATCACACACGTTTTGGCGCTAATCATTTCCACCGGTGGAGGCCCGGAGCATGATGAATAGGCGAGGTCGACAGTCTCTTTGAATAGTAAGGAGTCAATAAGAGGAAAAATGAATCGGATGAAAGAAGAAAAGTACTGCTGGACATATTGATCTACGACGGATCGCTCCGGAAGATCTGGGACACCCGTATAGCCATGCAGTGTCTGTGAGAAGGAAGTGGGGGGCTGTGGTGTCAGTCGTTGAGGCTGGGAGGGCCGAAGGGTGTTGAATCTCTGGTCTTCGCCGGTACGTGACTGCACCCATTCTTGACCGTCAAGCGAGAGGCTTGGAATACCATTGTACGAGTTTAAGTCGCCCACATAGTGACCTGCGAAGTGTATCTTGCCGAAGCACAGACCACTGTTGGAACGAGGCATGTAGTCGCTGGCTGAGGGACCATTGGCCGACGTCTGTGGGGGGCCGAAACAAGCGGCCGGGTCCGATGGCCAGGACCCTTGGGAGATCAGCGAGGTACAATTACGTTGGTGCTCATTGGTCGGCATAGATCGCACCAGAAGCTGCTCCAGCTTCAATACCCGGTCCTCGAGGTCTTCCCCGGGTGGAGGCTGCTGTCGGGGCGGGCTAGCAGGATGTTAGACGACTTGGAAATGATCCGCATCGCACGATACATACTGAGTCATGGGGTTCGGCTCATTGGTGGCTCTCTTGCGCTTACTACCCCCTATGGGCCTATTGAAAGTGCAGTCCAGATCATGGTGGCGGCACCAGTTGCATGGGATGGATGGATCACACTGGATCTGAAGAGCGGTCAGGCAGGTTACCCAAGTAGCAGCAAGAGGATGGATATTTACTTTTCTCCGGTGACACGAGTCACAGGCCCGGGCCGTGCGGCGCAAAGGGGGCGCCGAGGGGGCACGCTCACCACCATCCGAGGATGGAGTGGAGGTGGACATCTGCATGAACTTATGAGGGCTCAAGGGTCTGTCTGGAACAACAAGGGACCAATTGAGATCAACGGAAAACGTCCGGAGCCATACCAAGCTCGGGGATAAAGGGGTAGGATGAATAGGATGGCCGAGAGATTGAGTGGGATGCAGACTCGGTGTGCGAGTGTGAGAGGTCCGAGGCAGAAACAGGCCCGCCAGCGGCCCGCTGACTCATGCCGCTGACTCAGCTACCAGCGCAGCCCAGCACCAATCATCGCTAAATCCGAGCATCCACTGTCGAGGCGGAGACCTTCCCATACTCAAGGTGGAAATTAGACCCGCGTTATCCAAGTAAACCGATGGTGGAGCTTAAACCAGATTTGGCACTTCATAGCCATGGTTTGCGCTAGGCCCTTGACGTCCGGACCTGTTCTTCAGGACAAAGTGGTCCCTGCATCAAGCGTAGACATTCCTTAAGCTGGTCGACCAACACACGGATATGGAAAGTATGCATGCCAGGTGGTGCTTAGGACCACATGAAGAATCGAGCCAAGACAATCAAAGGTGCACTTGCAGACTGTACCAACATGCAAAAGAGCAAATAGCTCTTAGCATCAAAGAAATTTCGAGTCTTTCTGGCAGCCACAAGTGTGCTCAACGTAATACTGGGTGCACATTTTGACTGACTGTATCTCAGTTAGACTTGAGAGCAAGTTGCTTTCTTGAAGAGGTAATACTTACTTTTTGGGTTCAGATGGATGGATCCTTGAGACTTGACAAAGGCTTCCGGATCTACAGGACTGTATTTGGATTCATTAGTGACCACAGATCATCAGCGTTGGCTTTCTCGGACTTACTTTGAATATCTTGGATAGATTAGAATCTAGTAGGTCAAAGAAGCTTTTTTGGGCAGTTTGCGATGTAGCTAGGTTGGGTGGGATGAAGAAGAGATGGAATAGATGTTTGGGTGGATAAATGAGCTTGTGGGTGTTGATGATCAGGCCAGGGGTTGAGTTGTAGAGGAAGGCATTTAACACAGAAGTAACAGAGAAAAGGTCAGGTCAAAGGTTCAGATTTATTCATATGATCCGAGTAAGAGACCCACAACTCTTTTTTTCTCACACTCACTAGAACACATGTGTTACAACTTCTCACAGCTTCTCGTTGACGCTGCCTATCCTACCACTGCCTAACTTTCACTAGCCAACATCAGTCTTGAGAATTCGACAGCAAGACTCAAAAAGTCTTGTCTTGGGCGGTGATAAGACAACTTGAAGGTATGAGATATCACAACAACCACCGGTTGAAGCTAATAAAACTTTGAATAGTTAGGAAAGTGCCCAGTGCAAAAATGAGTAACTCCCCAGAGATCAAGTTACTCAACAACTACTGCGACAAGAAGACCGAAAGTTACTTCCGTCTTCTGGTTGATGGCAAGCAGATCAAATACCTCACTGTCGAGCCGGGCACGTACAAGAATGCTGAGATGTGCTTTCCTCCAACTCTGTACACCGTACTTCCCAGGTTTCCTGCTGGAAATTGGAACGATGGTGTTGTGGCCAAAGACGAAGAGGGTCGCCCCTACTTTACATGCATCAACCTGACTGAGTTTCCCGGCGTCGAGAACACCTGGCATGAAACCTTCATCGACTATATGGACGTTAAGCTGGATGAACGTTTGCATGGTGAAACTCATGAAGCCAAATGCCCACAGTTTGACGAAACAGTAATTGCCAAGTATAAGCCCTGGCACTTTTACATGCATTTCATGGAGAACGAGACTACAGTCTATCAGCAGCTAGACGGCCGTGGCATCGGGCCTCGGTTCCTTGGCCATTTGACTGAGCATGATCGTGTCATTGGTTTTCTGATTGAACGAATTCCCGATGCACGCCACGCTGGACCTGAGGATATTGACCTCTGCAGGGAAACATTATCTAAGCTACATGCTTTGGGCCTTCGGCACGGAGATACAAACCGACACAACTTTCTCATCAGCGATGGAAAGGCTATCCTGATCGATTTCGAATTCACCGAGGAGTGTGACGATGAAGACACGCTCCAACAGGAGATGAATGGCTTGCCCGCTTGCCTTGCAGATCCTTCACATGTAGGAGGTCGTGGTTCTACAGAAATCTTTTATGGGACTTATGAAGAGATGATGGATCCAGACTGTTTCTAGGAGACATGTGAACTTCGTCGTGGATTATCCTGACTGTGGACTTTTGCTTTCTCCGCTGGTTTCCCTTTCCATGGGTGACCTGATCACTGTGCGTCTCTCTACTTGTCCACTCTTTATGATGCTTCAAGATAACTCTTTAGTTACTTAGTCCATATCTACAGGCAGTCATCTAAAGATATCTACATACTTCTGATACTCATCCTGCCACCGCACGCGCTGCACAAATCCCAACACCTCCCTCAGCTTCCTATTCGACACGGGTGCCTCTCTGCCCACAAACTCCCTCGCAACCGGCACCCCAGGACAGACCCTTGCCAAAAACGCCTTCGTCGATTCCTCAAAATTTGTCATCTCATCATTGACCGCATTGAACACTTGAAACCCCAGCCTATCCACAACCAACCCCCTCTCCACCATTTCCCCAAGATCCCTTGCATCCGTATACGCCCAACCATGCACCTTCCACTCCTCCGGCCGCTCCACATACCCCCGGAACTTCTCCTGGAACTCCTCCGGACTCACCACCGCCCCAAACCGATACACATAGATGTCAGTGCCGGGAAACCGCCTCGCAAACCCAGCAGCAGTCTGCTCCCCACACACCTTCGAGATGGCGTAGGCATCCATCGGCTGCGCGGGGACGGACTCGTCCACAGGGAAGGAAGCGTAATCGACATCGCCCTCGGCGAACGCCACCCCATAGACACAGATGGACGACGCCAGGAGGATCTTGCGGATGCCCATATGACAGGCGGCCTCAAGGACGTTGTAGAAGGCCAGCACGTTTCCGCGATACGTCTCGTTGTCGGGGACGATCATGTTGCGCGCGTAACCGGCGAGGTGGATCACTGCGAGAGGGATCTGGTGGAGCGGTTCGCGGAAGGGCTCGGTCAGCGCGAAGTGCGAGTGGAAGGCACTGTGGACTTGGCCGGTGTCAGTGAGGTCGACGCGAATGGTGTGCACCCGGGCGGCGAGCGGGTCGGGCAGCGGGTGCAGGTCTAGGTTCAGGATCGTGTAGTTCTGGCTGAGGAGGTGGGCGATGATGAACTGGCCGGCTTTGCCGGAGCCGCCCGTTATGATGATGCGTTTGGACATGGTGGTTTGGGTTGCTATGCTGCGATGGTTGAGGACTTGAGGTGCCAGTGGACTACGTGGTGGTTTTGTTGATACGGAGGGGAGGAGTGCGGGGTTGTGGGGGTTGCGGGGGGTTGCCGAATTGGGCGGTATGTTTATCTACTAGGTATCCGCGGACGTCGGCGATTATGGCTTGACACTCTAAGGAGAGATATTTACATGAGCTTTAGCCTCATTTTAATCATTGCATTAAGTCCCAAGGAAAAGATTGTGGACTGTATGCTGTGCAGCATTCATATCTGCAGGATCCAAGCTGACATCATTAGTGCCAATGCTCTGTAATGACCCGCTGCCAATTCATCCCGCCTACCCCTCACATGACATTACACCAACACCAGCTAAACTAGCTCCTCCACTCCTTTCGCTGACTTTCTCACCTTAACTCACGCCCCTCTCTTCATCCATCGCGGAGGAGACATACTGCCTTGACAGAAACAACCACAAACCTACCACAGCCCCACAGAATGACCAAACCCACCAACCGCCCCCGCATAGCCTGCTTCCATGGCGGCGGCTCCCGCGCGTCTGTCTACGAAGTCCAATGCAGCCACCTCGCCAAGCTCCTCGAGCCCGACTTCGAACTCGTCTTCTTCGACGGACCCTTCTTCCGCGACGCGGGGCCCGGTGTCCTCCCTGCCTTTCGCGGCTACGAGCCCTTCCGCTCCTGGTTCACGCAGGATAATAGCTCCGGCACCGAGCTCGCCGACGGCAGCGGGTACGATATGACCGGTCGGGATGGCGTCGAGCGGATCTGGAAGCTGATGCGGGAGCGAGACCAGGTTAACCCTGGTGGGCCTTGGGTCGGGGTGATGGGGTTCAGTCAGGGGACGAGGCCCGCGGGCGGGTTATTGCTGGATCAGCAGCGGAGGGTTGCGAGCGGAGAGTCAACGACATCAACGACACCGGGGTCGAGCTTGAAATTTGGAGTTATGTGTATGGGGGCTGGTGCGCCTATGGTGGCGGAGAGTGCGCATCGTATGTTCATTCCCCCCTAACGGGTCTCTGATCAAAGACTAACTGTGATGGTTGCAGGGGCAGAATCCGACGCGGAGCTTGTCTCTATCCCGACGATACACGTGCATGGTCTGAAAGATCCGGTGCTGCCATTGAGCCGACATCAGCTGGCGACGTATTATGAGCCTAAGCGGAGTGAGCTGTTCGAGGTGGATTATCATCATGCCATGCCGTGGGTGAAGCACGAGGTCGAACATCTGGCGTATCTGATCAGGGCAGCATACAGAGAAAACAGCTGAAGGGGGTCTGAGACATTTCAGGGATTGGAATATGCACTCGAACAGGAATCAAGCTTCACAGATGGTATTAATCACGGCTACGCCAATGTAGTCAAATAGACTTTTGCTCATATCTCATATCTCATGCTAAATTAGTGGGCAGTCTTGCTTTCTTCAAACATAGCAGGAGGGATCCCCTCGTCTGCAACTGCCTTAAGATCATCCTCTCCCATCTCTCCATCCCAACCGTGCGCAACCAAGTAAGCACGGAACTTCTCATCGCGGACCCGCAGATCCTCCCCGGAGATATCCTCCACGAAAAAGTACGTCACCAGCACCCCGACCACACCGCAGATTGCAGCGATGATAAATGTCCACTTTTTGCCCAAGTTATTCTCTATCGGTGTGAACACCTGCGTCCCGATCGCACCGCCCGCCTTGCCAAATGCGGCCGAAATCCCATAGCACGTACCCCGCACACCGGTCGCGTACATCTCCGACGAGAGCAGGCCCAGCATATTCCCTGGACCGAAATTGCCGGAGCTCTGCATCAATCCGTAGAAGATCACGAAGAGCGGGATGATCTTGGTGATCTTATCGTACGCACAGCCAATGATCAAGCCGAACACCAGGTAGCCGGTGAAGCCGATCATCATGATGTTCTTGCGCCCGACGCGGTTGCACAGAACGGCGCCGAGGAAGACGCCGGGAAGAGCGATCACGCCCAGCAAGAGCTGCCATTCGCCGGTCTTCATCACAGAGCTGTCTTTGATGACGGAGGAGATGATCGTGCCGGAGAAGACGCCATTGGGGAATGTGACAAAGTCTAACATGAAGATATCAGTCAGGGGCTGTGATTGTTTCTGACTGGAAGAATTAGAGGCTACATACCGTACAAGAACCAGGCTCCGCAGGTTCCAATCAGAGATTTCCAGTAGTATTTGACCACAAGGATGTAGGGTACGTGCTTCTTGATCGCGCCGCGGCGGTAGAGGGCGGAGTTCATCATCCGGAAGCGGAAGTAAAAGACGGACAGCGGCCATATACAGCCAATGCCGAAGCAAACGCGCCAGACTGTGCTGTAGTGCGACTGGTGGCAGGCGGAAAGGACGATCAGGAAGATCGCGACCGCGAACGGCCCACCAAACGAGAGGGGGAAATTGGTCACCATGATGAATGCCGGTCCGCGTTGCTTGGGAGTCAGGTCGTTGGCGGCCTCGGATGCTGAGGTCGATGAAGCGGGATATTCACCACCGGTGCCTGTCCAACGTCAACTACCGTGCTGAGTTGCTAGATGTGTCTGCGCTCACCGAAACCAACAATACCACGCGCCACCGTCATCATCCAGAACATTCCGTCAATAGTGTACCCGTTCGATGCGGTGGCTAATATTCCTCCCACCACGATCATAGCCGTTGTAAACACCAGAGCGGCCTTGCGGCCGAGGTAATCACAGGTGAGTCTGAGTGAGATTAGCGCTGGAGGATGACTGGGAATTGTTGTGGTGTTCCTTACCCAATAACAATCTGGCCGATAACCTCACCGACCAAGAGAGCGTTGGAGACTCGAGTCTTGACAGCTGAGGTGTACTGCTCCTTGTATTGACTGGCAAGAAGCACGTTTACCATCGTCCTAGCCAGCGGTTAGCTTTCTGAGACCATTTAGACAGGAAACGCCTACATCAAGTTGTTCTGGTATCCATCACTGATCAAGGCAAAGCCGCTGGCAATCTATGATTTATGTCAGTATGAACGGTCTGTAGGACAAGAGACTGCAGAAACTGACAATTGTGATCAGGTCCGAGAGAGTGCGGCGCTTCTTCTGGGCTTCCGCCTCGGAGATGGTCTCTCCATCATGAGAGTTGGCCTGAATGACGGTCTGGAGATCCCCTTTGGGGGCAAGTGAGGAGTCTGGTGACGCTGACATATTGCTAGAGTACCGCAAGCGCAGCGATAGAGAGTCGCGCGAAACCTTTGCAGAAGGCTTGCCTTTGTGGTCAGGAAAAGTCGGCACGAAGGCGAACAGCCCGTCCCTCGTGCTTTATATCCGAGTTTGGAGGCGACTGGCAGAGACTATTGGTGGAGGCATGCTGGATGTGACCTTAATCCTGTTGCAGTAGTCAATCCAGTCAAGGCTGCGATTATCGGTGCTATCTCTCAATCAGCATATTGATTCATTCCTTGTCCTGCAGCCACTGGCAAGCGACTAAACTGGATATAGACTGGGCCGGCCTACTTTACTACCGGACCAATCATAGGGAAAACTCGGCCCGTTCCCACCCGGGAAATACCCTCCAATCACATGACACGACGACTGCACGTTCCATGTTGTGGGCGGGCACGTGTAGCTTATCTTCGCTCTCATCTCTTGCAGTGGTGTTTGTTGATGCTTTTCCCATCCATCGACTGTCCCCACGGCGAAAGCTTTCAGTCTCTTGGCCTGCGCTTGGTGACTCGGGAGGATAACCCATTGGCGTGCAAACAGCCAAGAATGCGCCCACGTGAATCAAGCCGCGCCAACAACGCCCTTCCGTAAGGCTGTCCAAGGTTATGTGGCGGGCCCACCACGAGTCGTCCGGTCCAGATGGGAAAGTGCTCAGACGATGAACCATGTTTCCTCTTGTTTGCCCTGACTCGAGTCGATTGCTCAATGAACTCGTTCCCTGTGTCACACCAGTCAGGAATCGGCCTACGCACAGCCACGGCTGACTACACGTCGAAAGGCTTGGCAGAATCCGTGAGCTGAATGCATTGTATTCCCTCCATCTACTGACATCCTGCAGCAGTCGCTCCTGATCTAGTCTCCGAATCATCTGTCTCCACCTTCTTCACATACGGGTATCACAACCGTGATCGCGGCCCACGGTGGTGTCTATGCCACGCCTTCATTTGCCAAGCGGGCACATCGGCTGGACCCATAATCTGTCGACGAGACCAATGACCGATTGTCTCTCCTACAGTGCTCATCCGCAAGGGAACGCGCAGAAAGTCATTGTAGCCCGTTGCCCTCTCCCGAGACAGGTTGGTTCCGGACGCCGACGCCGTCAGTCCGATGAGCGGAATCGATTGCAGTTGGGGATCGTTACAGAAAGGTGGCTGCGTGCGGACGATGCGGACCAGATCGTAGCCACTAAGTCCTGGAAGTGAAGTCTATACGAGGAGTCAGTGGGCGCTCCATTCTGAACAGCAAACAAGAGGGTGACCCGGCAACACGCCTTTATAAATATGATATGTGGTAGTGTAGGGGCCGTGGCCAAGTGGTCAAGGGCTGCTGTGCCAGAGCCGATGACAACCACCTCACAACCTAGCTTTTGACCGATACGATGACACAACTTCTGAACGGCAAGACTAGATAATAACAGTTAGGAAGGGTACCTGCAGCAGCTGCCCAGTGGGGGAGTCTACTTGTTCTCAACGAATAGGAGCTGCATTTTCATGTCCTGATTATCGCTGGTGCATCGGTTTGGCGTTGCTGCCAGAAGTGGGCTGTCAGAAGTGAAAGTGAGCAGGGTCTGTCGCCGATTAGATCATCAACGCTGATGAGGCTGTGTCTGGTCCGTGCACTGCATTGGATCAGGTGTGGCCTTGGCGTGGGTAAAGACCATCCATCCTGCAGTTTGGTGTAGTTTGGTGTAGATAGCAGACGTCGCGTAGGTCTGAGAGTTCAGCACATAGAGACAAGGGTCAAGCTTCTTTTCTCCAGTTCCCCAACTACTCGCTGGCTTAACTCCGTTACCGCCGACATCACCGACTATACCTGATTTCAAAGCATTTGATTGTTAAGCATATCTATACCCTCCAATGCGATTCATAAGGAGTTCCTGGAAGTCACCTTCGATGCGTGATCTGTCAAAGCAAATGGCATTCTGTCTTGAACTGCATCATGGCATCTTATCTCATCACGGGAAGCTCAAGAGGGATTGGGCTAGCTTTGGTCCGTCTTCTGGCTTCCAAGCCGAGTACAGAGGTGGCAGTGGTCTTTGCAGCCGCGCGAACACAGACCGATGCATTGACCCAGTTGGTTGCGCAGACTTTTGGGCGCGTTTATCAGGTTGAGATGAATGTTACCGATGACCGAAGCATCGCGTCGGCAGCTGCGACCGTCGAGAAGGTCTTGGCTGGTCGAGGACTCGACGTCCTAGTCAACAACGCCGGTGTCATGCCATTTACACCCGATGGGATTGAGACAATGTAAGTGTAGACAGGCCGTTATATCAACTCAGTTTGGTAACTGAGATCCACTAACCCCTGGTTAGGTCAGACTTGAACTCCACGTTCCGCACCAATGTGACCAGCGCTCATATGGTTACAAGTGCCTTCTTGCCATTGTTGAAACAAGGTACTCTGAAGAAGGTGGTCAACGTGTAAGAACTTCACCGCTCGCCCATGGTTAAAAGCTAATGTGAGACCTCAGATCCTCCACCTTTGGCTCCATCGCCAGGGCGTCGAGATCTGCCCGTGCCGCAGCCCCGGCTTACAAAATCACCAAGGCCGCCCTCAGCATGCTGACCGTACAATATGCCCAGTCTTTTGCCAGAGAAGGTTTTATTTTCATGATCATCTCATCTGGTGTAAACCTCCTTTACACATCATGTCTCGTGTTCGGGTGCTCACAATTTACAGTGGGTAAAAACAGATCTTGGAGGCGACAATGCCGACTTAACGCCCGAGCAGAGCGCCACTGCCGTATTCGATCTCATTTCTTCTGCAACAAGCGCCCACAACGGCAAATTTTACGATATTTTTGTGGATGGATGGGACTTCTACGATGGTGCCGAGGTGCCATGGTAGCTAGAATCGGTGCCTGATCCTCAGAGGCCAAAAAGTGGAATACCCACAATATTGTCCTCGGAGAAGAGATAGTACTGACTAAAAAGACTCTCATTGGAAGGTGATTTGAATCGGCCTTGCTCTGACTTTAGGACCTTTAATAGCAAGGTACGCATCTGCGCTTCGAATTATTTGGGCGTCGCTGTCTTTTCCGTCCACATCTGACCGAACGTCTCATCTTCCTGATGGCTGTGGTCTGCTGCTATCGGGCAGAATAGAAAGTCACTCTTGCTCTCCTCCCGACTTTTGTTTGGTCTTACAAAATCTCTCAGTCAAAAACTCTATTAGCAATTTAAGGATTGCGGTGATGATCGTATAACCACGGTTGGTCGACTTCGCTCCTGGTTCACTGTCATGCGACTGGTTAAATGGCCGAGGTAGACTCAGAGAATGCTGGGCAATGCAGGCCAATGCAATCCCACACTGAGGAGGGCCAAATGATGGTATGTTCGTCAAACCACTTGCTTACAACTACGAAGTTCAATACCCCCGCTTGATGATCAAGGTATTGTGATGCTAAATTAAGACTTGCCTGCCCTACGTCAAAGGAAACTCGAAAGCGGGGTGTTGTCGATCGCACGGCAATATGGCTCCCTGCGGATCGAGTCCTGGCCTCTTAACCTTAACGACACCTTCAGTCACCAGGTCTTGACATTGCCTTTCCTGTCTTAGCATGAGTATCATCGAACGAAAACGAGCCTCCTTGCTTCCAATGCCATTGATTGTTTGAGTCTTGATTATTGATATTCCTCGAATTATATATGGATCCTATCCCCCTTGATAGTGATCTCGATCTGACAGGTCACATACGGTCCATCCCATTCTGGCTCGAAGTCCCTCATTTGGGCACAATCTCTGCTGAAGTGGATAGCTTTGACTGAGACATCTACTTCTTTGCCAAGGTCACACTGCATCTGACTGTTCAGGTCTACATGCCAGAACACGAATCTAGGGCGTTGTTGACGTCGGACAGATATGGCCAGAAGCCACGCTAGCCGCTGTGCACCGCCTAACCCACCAACCCCTTCAATATTGTGTAACCAGAGCGAAGGCCACTTTCGTTGACTAACATCACACTACACATTGATTCTAGACAGCATGTTGCCATAATTATCATCAATGGATCTGGGGTGGTAAGTTTGGATGTTCGCACAATGCTTTTCGGGCACTGGATGGGTTTCGGTCAAGACTCGTATTACGCGCGCCGTGTTGGGAAGTATACGAGCTTCCGCATTCAGAACCCTCGCTTCCCATTATAGCCACCTCATCACAACCACGATGTGACCTACGATGAACACAGTGAGCTTCCACAACTATATCGAAAGATATAAAAGGAGCTCACTCGGCCATCTACCGTCACTCATCTCAAATTATCAAGCAATCACTCCCAAGCCCTACAACTAAACTATCCGCTCATCAACTCTAAATCTGCTCATCCATCCTTAATCGAAATGACCAAAATCATCGCCATCGTCGGAGCCCTTGCCACTCTTGCACTGGCAGCTCCATCTCCTGCAGGCGACGTCGTTCCTCGCGCCTGCACCACTATCCTCCCCTCCTCTATCGATGTCCTTGATAGTGCCCACCCGAACACCGCCAACGTCGGCCAGCGATTCACCCTCCGACGCTCTGGCTCCCCAGGCTCCTCAGTGACCAACAAGAAGATATCTGCATTCACCTTTACCGACATCCCCGCCGGGGCCACCGGCTGCACCCTCCAGGTCAACGTACCGCCGTTGACCACGGCCAATCAGATAGCCTGGGGCTCCAACCAGGCCGAGTTCTGGACGACCAACGCCTGGACCGCCGCGAACGCACCGACTTGGAGCAACCCGCCGACCCGCGGCCAGATGGTCTCCACCTTCCAGTTCCCAACGGGGGTGACCACCACCTCGACCCAGCAGAACCTAGCCTCGAACACCTGCTCTAATACGATGAGCTTCTTGGCGCTGCTCAGCGATTGGCAGGGGGCTGAGGGACAGGTGGATTTCACGCAGGGCGCGGATCTAGGGTTCAAGTTGATCTATAACTGCTGATCTACCTCTTTTCAAGAGTAGTCTGGAGTCAGTCTGTGATGGGTATGATGGGAGGATGATCAGGCTGGATAGTAATGTCATGGGGGGCTTTGGGGTTGTTGTGTCCGTTGAGTTAGTCATTGGGATGGGGGAATATAATCAATCAAGAAGAATATTGAGCTGCGCAACTAAGTCATCCTTAGAGTATAGACTGTTGAATTTCTGCTTTAACTGACATGTCCAAGAGACCAGGTTTGGGAAAGGCAGAAGTCGTCTAGAAACGCTTGTGGGGGTCTAGGTTGTAAATGTGAATATAGTTTCGTGTACAGAACAACATGCGAACTTGAGTAAGATGATGCATTGCATAGTTTGAAGAAGTGTGATTCCCAATTCAGAGCAATCAATGGAAACTCTGATGTTGAGCAAGGTCAAGGTGGGAAAAGCATGCTAATTATAGTCGCGGACAAAGAAACCGCAGCACGTCCGGCTCATCCCGCCAGCTCTTCCTCTTTCCTTCTGTCCTTCCTTCCTTCCTTTCTTTCTTCATGCTAATTTTAGCACTTATCAATCCATTAATTATCGTTCCTCGGTCTCTCTATCATCATCATTATCATCATCACCATTATCAGTCGAATTGAAGTCACTATGATATCTGCAACAATATTGCGGACACGGCTCGGTGGGTGAGATGAGCAACAGGTAGGAACGCAGCGCCACGGTCAATGCGATCGGACAGCTGCCAGGACCTTGAGGCTGGGGATCGATTCCGTCACTGAATCCTTCAACTCCTTGGCTCGATCACGGGACTATTTCCCCCGTGCAGGATTTGGTGCTATTCCGAAGGATTGTGCGGGGTAGGTGAGAAGCTTATTGTGACCAGTCTTTGTTGCAATGATCGTCGCTCTCGACTCGACTCAACTCTTGGGAGATGACATTGATACTGGAGTATACCTTCAGCATGGCTGGGAACAAAGTTGAGCTTCAGTTGTGTGTCTTCTAACATTCTGACGGAAGATTGTTAGAACCGGATTCTTGTCAAGACTGTGACATTTGCACGTATCTTCCCCAGTCACAAGCTGTTCTAGCAAGCAATAATCGCCAGTTGTGCAAACGTCTCACACATGTGGAATGAAGCCCGTCCATGCCACCGTTTGAAACGAGCTGACCGGTAGTCGCCGCAGACTGATGAACGCCTCGACGATGATATACAAGCGCGCAGGAACTAAGCACATGCTGATAAGCGTGGAGATTATATCGAGCACCCACGGCCGCCATCCTGGCGGTCGCTCTGTGGGTTGAATCCAAATATAGGTCAGCGACCGGTGACCCTTGAACCCCAGAGCCGTCAAAGCCACCCGCACCGTGGTAGCGAGCGGAAGTCCGGACGCCAGTACCAGGGCACCGATACGCCACAGTAGCCTCTCCGTCGGGGTCGGGAACAGGTGGTTCCATCCCAGACAGTGAATGGCAGGATGGACCATCGCTTGCACCGTCACCAAAATCCAAGTCTGCCGGCGCATGTTGATCACTGGAATCTTGTCGTCGGGCATGCGCTGCAGCGGCCCCTCCTCCAGGCCGAATTTCTCCAGCGTGGGCCGACGGTGCCACCGCTGCATCGGCTTCTCAACGAAGTCTAGGGGGGTGTGCTGAAAATCTTCCACGGAGGCGTTACCACCCTGATTCAGAATGGCGTTGACACTTCCGTATTTGAGGTCGATATACGTGGGTACGCTGACGTTCTGCGGCTTGTGCATCCAGAAATAGTAGCTCATCATAGTCGACAGGACGAATCCAAGCGAGAAGAGCTCCAGCGGGGTCACGGATAGCCCCTGAATGACCCGTGCGATCGCCTGTACCGCCAACCAAGCGGTTTGGACCAAGGCCACACATTTCGCAAAGACATCGGCCTTGCTCTTGTCCCAGATCTCCTCCTCGGTGATAGTTGGGCACTCGATATAGTCTGCCTCCACGAGATATTGGAGGGCTGCGGAAGTGATTGGAAAGGGGCGGTAGTCGATCGATCGCAGAACAAAGCCTCCGCTGTTGGCATAAAAAGCGTGCTTCAGCGTCCAGTGCTTGTGTCCCATCCGATGCATCTGCTCGACGGCTTGCTGTGCGGCCTCCCACTGCATGGCCGAGAAGTACACCAGCAAGTCCGGAGCCAAGATAGCCAGCATGCCCCAGCGTATCTTGCGCATTATTGTCACCATCAAGCTATCGTTCGGACCAGGGATGTTCAAATGCAGAACGGTGTACAAAGCTGTCGATAAAACCAAAGCACAAGACCAGAGGATGTCTATCGACCCGCGTACATTGGGCGCGTCGACCCAACCCGCTGTTTCGGTACCATTGCCGGCCATCATGTATCAGCCAGGTTGTTACTCAAGAGAAGAATCTGCTATGAACGCAGAGCGGACAAGAAGTTGACACAAAAGACGCGCGGATCGCTCAGCGACTGTCTCGGGACAGACAGCGGTATAAATCAGATTCTGTCTTCCCCCTGCCGCTATGTACAGTACATCCCCTCACATGGAGCAGACACTAATTCGCGGCGGACTCAGCTCGCTTGGCTTTTCATGCACAAGGTGTCGCTCAAAAGAGACAAGCGCGGTTAGATGGTGAAATTGACGATCAGAACACTGCGTCCATCTAGTGCCATGCCGTTTTTCCGGCACGCTCGATCCTCCAGTATTGTGTCTTTGCCGGGTCTTACCATCGATTCTCCCACGCTCAATGGTCTATTCCGCTGTGCTGATTGTTACACAAGTCAAATTCGGACATGCTATCGGCTAAAAAGCGAGACCATCCCTTCCTCCCTCACATGGCATGCTGACAGGAGGCGTGAAGAATGCGACCATGGCAGAAGGTGGTCAGCGAGCAGAGAAAAGTGGAGCAGAAAGATAACAGAGCTGCACGGGGATTCACGGCTGGATCAATTGAGTGTTGGGAAGCATTGGAGTTGACCCTGACTAAGTGGAGATCGGCAGGTCTGAAGGAAAGCCCCGGGAAGGATGTCCCTAACGGGAAAGGATGGACTTGCCGGCACTATTTTAGAGCCTTCCGGGCCTGCTTAGAGGCACGACGGTGGATGTCGCTTGTCCGTCCTCGCTCCTCCACATTGGCTGTTGCGCTCCTTGGGGGCCAAAAGTGAGTCTCCACCGTGTCGGACGTTTTTCTTCAATGGTGCCCCTCATCTAATGACAATTTATTTTCGTTCTACTCATGTACGTCTGGGCCTGTTTGGTCGTACAAGTTCCGTGAGCACTAGGGTAGTGAACACAAAGGCTGAAACCCTGTTCCCCTTGCTGCCCCAGACTGGGTTCGTCTGCACTTTCCACGTGCATCTCCGCGACCACCGCATGGCAACAAGGTTCCTACGTTAAGCGAGGTGATCCAGGAAACCATAGATGGGTATTCAGCTTGTCCTCGTTGACCTGCCAGTGCTGATACCGCGCATGATCCGGTCACGTCGTCCTACTCAAGCTCTGTGGCAGGCCTTGGAGTCTGAGACATGTTCCACTCACACATCATTCGAGAACGAGTCAAGCAACACAGCCAAGCAGGCTGGGATGTTCTGCTTCTCTGGGCTCTGGCATGTCAGCAATCAGAGCTGTGGCCGATAGCGACCACCCCTCGACCACTGGCCTAGCCTTCAGTGTCCCGTTCGAATTAAATTAATTGTGACAGGTACAGTCCTTCCTATTTAATCACTAATCTGTTCCGACAGGGTTATCCCTTGAACCTCGCACGACCCCTCCCTTCTTGGCGGACTATGATGATCGTCTCCATTTTAGGCCTCTGAGGCATGCGGGCTGTGCACTTGCTGTAGGTCATACCTTGAACATGTGGTACCCGGAAACTCTGGTTTCTGTGCTCTACCATAAAAGATTGCTGATATTGCCAAGAAGTGGTGATAACAGTACACTAGGTTGCGCACTCTCGTGGGGGCGGAAGTCAACCAGGACATCACCATCTTGCAATCTACAAACCTTCAATGCACACACCTGAATGGATGACTTAGACCCGCTTTCAGTGAGAGGAGTAGTGATGATGGACGTTTGCAGTATGGCTCGCAGGCTGGTGACAGCTGTCGCTCAAGACGGGCGTTGATTAGTTTTTACGACACTTCATTTCCCCTCAATCATTGAGTCCTGGCTGGAATAACTAATCATGACCACCAGTCCCTCCACCATGCCATTTATCCGCAGCCTCTGCCCGAGTCATATCACAAGATAGAGCTAGTCTATTTTTGACAGCACTTTTTAAACAGCACATGCTCTGGTCAATGCCGCAAGAAACACAAGAGAAAATGACGGCAGATGGCTCCTAAATGGTAAGAGAGTGCACTAAAACAGGGAAGTGTGTTGGTGATTGAATATGATATTTGGGGAAAGGAAACTACCATAATGCACAAGAAGATGAACATGAACGGCGAGCGCACAAATCCATCTGATATTTCATATCATGAGAGCATCATCGTATGCTTTGTCTGTAAGAATCCGGAGTCAGTCAAGCTTAGGCTCCGCGCGAGCGTTTCTGACGGATCGGCAAAGCTTTCTTGCGCAATCTGAACACGAGACTGCGCTCTGCTCCGGTACCATCAGGAGTCTCCTTGGACTTGGGAACCTGGTCGTTTATCTGATCACTGTCAGATTGCGCCTTCCCATCTTCATCCCCTTCCAAGTCAGTCACAGGAGTTGACTCACCGTTAGGGATAATAAACCAGTCTGCCTCGCGCAGGAGCTGTGGAAACCGCTCCGGGTTCAGCTTGGTGCCCTTGTACTGCATCACAGTCCAGCATCGGCGCCCGTCGGGCAGGAAGTCCTGGTTGGTGCCATAGATGCCGGGGATATTATACACTCGGGTCAAGATGGCGAGTCCTGTGGCCTCGAAGACCGCCCAGCCCGCGATCTCTACATCCACGGCCCGGCCATCGTATTCGACGGGGACAACGCTACGTAGCACTGCCGGGTCGAGAATGTGCTTCTCTGGGCTGAGATGTTCCGCGGGGACCGTGCAGATGCGGTTGAGTCTGCTGTCGCTGTGGCTGATGTTGCCTGCCACTACATCCCGCAGTTCCTTGTACCATTCGTCATCCTGGCGGATCTCGTCCAGGAGTTCGAAGTACTCTTCGCCCTTGAGGGTGCTGAGCCTGTTGCGTTTCTCTTGGAAGGGCTGCATTTTGTGTGATGTCAGCGGCTTGATGTCTTGTAGATATCAAGATGAGAAGACGTTGACGATGAAACTGATGGGAGGGTGGTGATGGAGTCAGGTTGAGGGCTGAGGTTTATATTTGATGTATTTTTCGAAGTGTCTCTCTTGAAAGGATTTATCGGCATGGACAGTTTGTGACTGTCTTTGTGATCTTGATGGAGATACCCATCTTTTTCGTGTTGAGAGGGTTGTGTGTTATGGCAGGCCTGGTGAATTCTTTGTTTTCTCAATAGCAATGCCTTTGCAGGAATCAGTCGGAGAGCGAATGGCTGATACTTTGATAGGGGACGAAATCCTGCTCAGTGAATAGTCCTGACCCTGGTTAGTCTGTGATACTTGTTCATCGTCAACTCCTGTTGATGGATATTGGTTGTAACACTGCTATGAGAGGACGGCCTTCTCTGCATCTTCCACAAACAAATGGAGGAATTATTTATTAAAGAGCCTTTGATGATCCTTTTATGACAGCAACTGCAACAACTATTCGGACTTTGCTATTGATATTCTATAGAGCTTCAGCTTCACTTTAAGCTCACTCATGCTTTGTTCTTACACAGTGTAAGACTAAGAGCCACCAAGCCTGGGCGCGGCAGCCATGCCATGCCCTGACTCACCAACTTCTCTTAAGGCCCACTTGTCTGAATTGGCAGATAGCGCCGTCCTATCTCTAGCCATTGATTATGATCGAGAATTTGTTGTATTCTCGGTACCTACTCCAAGTACTATTGGGCTTCAATCAAGTAATACTCTGAGGTGTTTGCTCTCCAGTGTATTTCCGGATTCTGTTGCATATCTGTGTCGATCTTGCGGGCGTACACGACACAAGATAAGATAGGCAATACCAGAGCCCAGTTTCAGTGAAAGTCTCTCACAAGGTGTAAAGATCTTGTCCACTAATACTTCATTCACCTTGAGCGTCGCTCTAGTCTTCTATGTGCGCCTAGTGTGAATAGTATAGTGGGCTGCATGCTGAGGCGGGAGCAGGATGCAGACTACTTGCAATCGGGCGGTGTCTATAAGTGCAAGTCATTGATATTAAGGTATATTGCAAAGCTAGCTGACAACTTTCACCAAATGTCTTGGTGGCGCAATTGGTTAGCGCGTACGACTGTTAATCGTGAGGTTGAGAGTTCGATCCTCTCCTAGGACGTTTGATTTCTTTTTCTTTCCGGGAGAAAGTCTTTTTGCTCCACCCTTGTACACCCACCAACATCCGTAGTACAACTCTGCCAGTAGATATCTCATGATATCGATGGTTGCACAAGATTAACTTTTCATTGACGCTGAAATCTCCGGGGCAAAGCTTGTTTACCCCGGAAGAGTGGATCCCATCATCATCCCCCGTAAAGCATACGTCATTCCCACCCACCACCACTTCCCCCCCGAATTCCTGTATCACTCACATTCCCATTCGACCCTCCGTTGTCCTGAAGTCTATCCTACACGCACGTGTATCTGAATCTCAGTATCTCCAACACACGCGCAATCGCAAACCGCTACTATTCTCCAATGTCCGTCTCCTTCCAGGACCTGGGGACCTCCTTCCTGGGCGCCTTCCAGGCCTGCGTCTCCGTCCTGCTGACGCTCGCCTACGGCGTCATCGCCCGCTACGCCGGCCTCGTCAGCGAGACCTCCATCAAGGATGTCTCGGGTCTAGGGATCAAACTCTTCTTCCCGGCGCTGATGGTTGTGAACCTCGGGTCGAATCTGCATCTCTCTAGCATTCTGAACTATCTTCCTATCTTGGGTATGTTCCCCTTGGCCAATCCCCTCCCTGGATAGTGGCTGGACTAGGATACTGATGGCCGTAGTCTGGAGCACCATCGTGGTCTTCGTCTCCCTGGTGATCGGGAAACTCGGCGAGCGCGTCCTCCGCCTCCCTGCCTGGGTGACCGCCGCCTGCGCGTTCAACAATACCACTGCGCTGCCGCTGTTGCTTATCCAGTCGCTGGAGAGTACGGGGAGTTTGAAGCGGTTGCTGAAAGATGGTGATAGCGTGTCCGATGCGGTCGAGCGGTCGCAGAGTTATCTGCTGATTTGTGCGGTGGTGAGTAATCTGCTGACGTATGTGGTTGGCCCGAAGTTGTTGCAGCAGGCGGATGCCGGGGGTGAAGGAGCCGAGGGGGGTGAGGGGGGTGATGGTGAAGGCCGATCTGAGGGGGAGGGAGATGATGGGGATGGCGCGGATGAGCAGAGCCCGCTGCTCCCTGCGTCCGTCCGGCGGACGGGCGCGCAGATCCGGGGCAAGTCCCGCGCGGCCTGCGCCCCGCTCCTCCGTCTGCTTCCTGAGAAGCTGAAGGAGGAGGCGCTCTCTTTCGACAGTCCAACCGTGTTGAATATGCTGCTCGGTCTATTCCTCGGAGGCCTGCTGGGCCTCACGCCGCCGCTGCACCGCGCGTTCTTCAATAAGAACGAGGACGGCGGCATCTTCAACGCCTGGCTCGTGCTGAGCATCAAGAACATCGGCAAGCTGTTCACTACCCTGCAGCTGTTCATTGTGGGCGGGAAGCTAGGCGTCAGCTTCCAGAACATCCAGCGCAGCGCGAAGAGCGGGCACGTGCCCTGGCGCGCCGTCGTGTTTGTCTTTCTCGTGCGGTTTGTGCTGTGGCCTGCGTATGTTTTCCTTCTTCCTTTTTGGGGCGCGTGACGTGCATTGCTGACACTACGTGGGGGGTGCAGGATCAGTATCTCGTTGGTGTATGTGTTCGCCGCTAAGACGAGTCTGCTGGGCGACGATCCCATTCTCTGGTTCAGTATGATGCTTATGCCGACGGGGCCTCCATCGTTGGTCATCTCCGGGCTGGCTGAGTTGGCGAACGTCTCTGAGGAGGAGAAGCTGACGGTTGTCAAGGCTTTGACGGTACGTTGGTCCTCGAGTGCTCTTGTGTGTGGTTGCGGGTCTTGCTGACTTTATGGGTGGTAGAGCCAGTATTGTCTGTCGCCGTTTACGTCCTTCACGGTAGCTGGGGCGTTGCACGCTTCGGAGAAGATTTTTGCGCAGTCGGCTAAGTAGGTGATTGTCTGGCGTTGAAGTATAAGGCTATGCAGATTGTGTCTTTGGAGCGGTATATAAGCATTGGGATATATCTTGGTCATAGAGGATGTTGGACATGCTATGGTCAAATCAAATGGTAGAGGGGTAGACATAGAGTTGAATATATTCAGCTTCGATATAGCCAACTAGCAAATCCTGGGGCAGTCTACGATAGCAGGAGCTCAGAATCAGTCCTGAGTCCTGGGGTTGGTATCACCAGTGTACACGCAAACCAAATCACAGTATCCACTGATCAAACACAATCCCCGGGTCCACGCCTCCCCAAAAGTCCATCTCGTCCGGCGAGTAGGCCCAAATCATCGGACACCAAATCCGACAGATCACCTAGCTCCGAGGGAGCGAACGGCGCGCTCGACGGCCCCGATTCCAACACCTCATCCAATATCTGCAAGAGGACTCTGCTCGTCCGCTCACACAGCAGTCCATGCACTTTGTCGGTCTTCGTGATGGATTCCAGATGTGACAGGAAGACGCTGAGGTCGCGGATTAGCGCCGCCCGTGATCCTGCATAGGGAAGCGGCTGGCCCGTGCGGCTCTGGGTCTGCAGTGCTTTCACGAGCACACTAGCGCTGGGAAAGCCGTAGAGCAGGATCTGTGGACACGGGAACAGTCAGTCACCTAGATGCCAAGGCTTCTTGCCAAAGAGCGTGTCTTACAGCCAAAATAAAATCACGACGCAAGTCCACCGTGGCAGCCTCCCCGTATGTTCCTAGCGTCAACACCGTTGAGAGGATCTGCGCGCTGACATTCAGCAGTGGGCCTTGTGCTTGATTGTCTTCGCGAAGAAGCAGTCTCTGCACAAGGAAGTCGTCATACAGGTGCGTCAGGTGGGCGACCGTTAGCATGAGGCGCGCGCTGACGGAGAGGGTGTCCGGCTCCCTCCATGCGGTTGCGGGGGTTCGTAGGTGTTTCGGCAGTGAGGACCAGGTTTGTTCGGAGCGGAGGGAGATGTCCCTAGGTCTGTTAGTATCCCTTTTTGTGTGTCAAGAAGGCCGAGGGGCTACCTTAATTGTGCGGCGGTGTCGGCGCTGGGTGGGCGAAGAGAAAGTTCGAGAATCTCCTCGCGAAGGGTGCCGAGCTCGAACCGTACGCGGATCCAGGATGCTCGCTGGAAAACCGGGGGCTCTTGGAGGTTCCATCCGCTGTCGTCCAGCGTCCTGGTGATGAGTTGCAGGTGTGCGCTGTCGGCTGTGAGGATCTCGTCCGCGAGATCGAGTGGGGGCTTGCAGTCGGAATGGCGGATGGAGATACGCGGGGGTCGACCGAGGAAGGTGGCAACCGTTTTGTCGAGCTGGTACGCGGCGGCGAATATTCGTCGTCGAGCTTCGGCGAGAAAGATCGGGAGATCGTTGGATTCGCGGTGGAGGCCGAGCTCAAACAGGGTAGTGGAGAGCTCGCCAAGTCGGTGCCATGTTGTAGAACCTATGCAGAGAGTCCATTCGTCAGCTTTCCATTCCTAAGCCAGATTCTGGGTTAGCGCACTTGTATCGCCATGCAGCAAGCCAGACAGAAGTAAGCTCTCGTGTTGTAACCATACTATCAGATCATTGGTCGGCGTAAGGAGTCGACAGACTTGAAGGACCGTGTCACACATCGTCATCATTCTTCGAGGGAAACGAGCCTGGTAGTCTGGGCCGAAATGTCCGGACACCTTGCTGTGAGCCAACGCGAAACAGCTGGCTTTGCCGGCGATGGCACCAATAATGGCGATGATCTCGAGTCGAAGCTGGCGACCGGTGAACAACTCATGGAATCCACTACCCTCTGTTGTCGGTGGAATCGTCAAGCGCTTGCTAGTGTTGTGGATAACGGACGTGGCCGATGTTGTGTCCCCTAGGAAGGAGGCTAATGCGTTCAGGATAAACGGGGCAGGTATGGCGGCCGACTGGCTGAGTCGGTAATACTCATGCACTAAATGCTCGATAATGGGCAGATCCTTCAGCCAGCGGAGGATCTCGGCCACTTTGTGTACCCAGTAGGCGGGCAGTGCTTCTGCAGCCTCGGTCTGGGTGGGCATGGGCGGCTGCTTGTCGGTATCCCGAGTCTCTGCAAATGCATCGAGAAAGCTGGTCGGCCCCAGATACCCTGCAGGCAGGGGTGTTTCAATCGCAGGGTTACACGCAGACACTTTGCAGGGTGACGGTTCTCGATCCGGCCCTTCGACCGCGATTGCGTCTGTCCTGGCTTCGTGTTGGTCCTGTAGCCTTGTTTCACTGTCAATGAGAGCTTTGATCAAGGTTGCAAAGCATCACTCACTCCTGTGCATTTCCACCGCTTGAAATGCTCCTTCTCACGTCTTTTCTCTCCGACTTGCGCGTCAAAGGAGCGGGATGATAGAAGCATCGTGTTGCTGTATCCCGTTGGATGCAGCGCGAGCACACAGGGATTCCATGGTCGCAGCGTACCTTGTCCTTCCGGCAAGGCTCACACGAAGCAAACTTGCCATTTCGTCGTCGAACGTTTTTGCCTGCTCCTGCCATGGTGTTTGGATCGGTGTTCTGATTCCCTGCGAAGGCCAGATCTGACGTGTGGTATCTAGTTGGCGTGCGTTCTTCGGAGATGCAGGACTGACATGGAGCCGATGGTACGGTACCATGCGAGGGGTGGAGGGCCTGTCTACTCTTCGAGGCTCCCCAGCTACCACAGCCTGTAATATCATGAGGTCTGCATCCTGTGGCACTTTGCGCGTGCCATTGTCATGAATGTTTACTTGTCAAGCTTATCGTTGTTCCCCTCCATTGGTCCGTAACCGGTTAGCCTTCGGGACTCGGCGTTCGGAGTCCGGAATCGAGCCTCAGGCATTAATATACTCTGCCTGAGGCACCCACTCATTGGCCTCGCTGCGAAGGACCTTGGGAGTCAGCACAGAAGTATAAGATGACAGGAGCTGATCAGCTATAGCTCAAGTATCATTTGATTCTATATGGCCGAGTCTCCCGGCCCCGACATCTTGCGCTCTCAGTCACTTTCTAAAAAGATTCACTGTGACTTTACATGGTTGCAATTGTTGGAATTTACCAATAAGTCAATATACCCTTTCTGCATCTCGATTCCATAATTCCTTGGAATATAAAGCCCAATGTTGACTCTTCTCGTTTCTAGATACTGGCAGCCATGTCAACGGAGCGACTCTCCGTCGCCCCTCGACTCGAGCTAAGTCACACTGCGTGCAGTACTGAACGCTCAATCACCGAGTCTAGACCAACTCTTCCATATCCCGTGTCACCAGGATCAATCGACATGGACGTGGCTTGGTCATCGAACCTGGTTCCTTAAGCATGGCAGGTCGTACCTTACCCCGGTGCCAGAGCCAGGGCTGCTGGGGCGGTGTTACCGGGGAATGCTGAGGGGCAATTCGGTGTCTCGGTGTCTGCTCCGAAGCGGGGTGAAGATCGCCATATAAAGCTGGCAGCTGGAGTTGGAGCTGCAACATGCCCCTCAGCTCTCAACACACCAATTGATCTTCTCCTCCCAGCTCAATTATTCAATCTTTTGACGCCATGACTCTCACCGGAAGCTGCCTCTGCGGCAATATCACCTACACCGCTGAGAGTACGTTCACCCCAATCAAACAGAACCGTGAGCTAACCAAGTTTTCCGCAGCCGATGAGTACCTGAAAGCGCTCTGCCACTGCACTGACTGTCAGAAGGTGCGTCCAGACGAAATCGCCTACGGGTCATCAGGCAGGCTGTACTGATCTCCTCCAGTGGACCGGTGGCGCCTTCACCTCCAACGCAGTCGTTCCCCGCGAGAGCTTCAAAGTCACCAAAGGTACGGCGCAAACGGAACCCAGTCAAAATTCCTCAGTCAATTCTGACGCTCGTAGGAACACCCTCCTCCTATGACGTTGTTGGTGCCAGCGGCAAGATTAACAAGCACTTCTTTTGTTCGACCTGTGGATCCAGCTTGTACACTGAGCTCGAAGTCATGGCCGATAAGACCGTAATCAAGGCAGGTACTCTGGACAATGGCGACACCAACCTGGGTGGGAAGGTGGATATCGAGTTCTACGTCAAGGATCGACCCTCGTATCTGGCTGCTGTCGAGGGCGCCAAGCAGGAGCCGCGCTTTGGTTAAGGGGTCGGTGAACTCGAGTTGTTCATGCTTTACGAAGTTTGAAGTTATCAGAATGAATAATTATGACTAATGTTCAGTTGTGAACTGTAAAACAACAGCATAGTAGTGCAAGAGGTTTTGCAAGCCAGTCTTCAATGGATTGGGCTAATCTAACTCTATTGTAGGCTATTCTAGAGCAGCAGCGATTCTGCTGAAAGCCAAGTCCAAGAGCTCCACGGGATGTGTGAAAACAATCCTGAACCATCCGTCCTTCTCCGACCCAAATAACGTACCACTGGCGAGGAACACCCTCTTCTGCAGTAGCTGCTGCATCACCTTCTCGCCCACCACGCTTCCCGCCTCTTCAGGATGTAGCTCCACATACCGCTTCCCGAGGTTCACCCACAAGAAAAACGCAGCATTGCAGCCAGGCGCATACTCGATCCCCAACTCTTTGAGGCGGCGCGTCGCATACGCATACGTCGTAGACAGCTTCTCTTGATTCCTAGCAATGTAATTCTCCGTGAACTCGACATCCTCGAGCAGCAGTGACGCTAGGTGGTCGGCCGTCCCGGAAGTATACGAGTATAGTGAGATCCCGCCCAGAGCCGTGTGAACATCCTGGTTGAACTGGGAGATGATCACCCCCATTCGAAGCCCGTTGGCGCCAAAGTCCTTACTCAGGCCCCAGAGCACGTGGACGAGGTTGGGGTTGATGATGTCGGTCAGGTCGATGGAGAGTGCGGATTCAAACGCCACAGGTGCCGGGGACAGGTCGACGGTGTTCTCCCATACGGATAGCGCGTAGATCTCGTCGCTGATGAAATTCATCTGGTACTTCTGGCAGAGTCGCATCAGTGCGATCAGCACATGGCGTGGGTAGCACCGTCCCAGCGGGTTGTGCGGGTGGCAGAGCATCATCGCCTTGACTCGGCGGCCGGTGTCGGTCTGGAACCGCAGCAGAGCCTGCTCATACTTGTCGACGGCCTCGAGGCTGAACGGGTCGCAGTCGTCGAAGGCAACCTGCACCACCGACGCACCGAACCGGAGCGAGAGGTCGGGAATGAAGGTCCCGTAGAATGGACGGCCGAGGAGGATCCCTTCCCCGGGGTCAGCAAAGCTCCAGGCGACGTGTTCGATGGCCGGGGAGACCCCGTTGGTGACGACGAGATGATCGGCCGTCACGGGCATGACGGGGCTGAAATGCCGGTTGATGAACGCGGCCATCGCGCGACGGAGTCGCACGGAACCGCCGCCGCCGTCGTTGTAGGTGAGGTATTTGGCTGGAAGCTCGAGGGCGCGGTTCAGGTGTTCCAGCAGCGTCTCATGCATCAGCGAGTTCTCTGCTACGCCGACGTTGACGTAGCCATTCGGGTTGGTCGTCTCGCACCAGACGTCTTTCACCACGTCCCACATGACGTTGTTGCTGGACTTCTGGATCACATCCTGCGCTCTTTGGGACATCGCTGATGTTGGGGGTGTTGCTGAAGCCATGGTGGTGTGGACTGGTACGTCTGGATTCGTAGCAGGTTGTAAAGACGAGGAGAGCCCCGGATCTGGTGACTGTATTAGAGGTCTTCAAGACAGCTCTAGATGACTCGCATCAACAGCTGGCAGGACCCGTGCGTCCAATCAAATGCTTATCACTCCTATAATATGCAGGCAAGGCCCGTATCACTGAAGAGTAGCAGTCCGTGTCGGATTCAACAACCGGTATTGAGTCACATCTTATCGACGGATTTCTGCAGGGCGCAGACTCAGGTTCGGTCGGTAAGGCGCGGGACCAGAGTTGGAGATTTGGGGAAGCAGAAGCTGGTAGGTTATGCCAAGCGCGAAGTGTGGGGATGTTGGAGACGGAGTGGATCTTGTGCGTGGAAACATCTTTGAGAATCTGGTCTATAAACGTTGGATGTCTAAGTGAGATGGTTGAGGGAGATGGAGTTTTGCCAGAAGAAGAGTCTCAACCATGAAGTTTGTGATGTTATCTATCGATGAGATATAGTGGGCGGGTGAAGCGGACGATGCAGGAGACGGGGTAGGGAGATTGTAATTGTTACCATTGGCTACTAGAGAATTAGTTTGCTTTAGTTTAAGCAGGGTGCATTGTTAGCGAGGTTCACAGTGCAGGTACAGATTATAGGAATATGTAGGCAATTGAGGAAATGTCTTACAACAATTGGGACGATGGCGCATCTGGGAGCGCGTCAGACTGAAGTACCAACTTCGGCCATTAATCTGAAGGTGGCCGGTTCAAGCCCGGCTCGTCCCATTCTGTTTTTACCTTTGTATTTTTCATCCACTTACTCAAGTTTTGACCGCATAATCATCTTTTTTTTGCCTCTTCGTCTTCAAAATTGATTAGAGCTAGCTTTTTAGGATTTCAAAGTGTCAATCACTAGATAGGCAAATCCTTTGGAGGCTATTTATCCTATCCTTCAAGATTTTCTATCGCATCCAGAACGTTCGACGGGAACTATATTTTCACTGCGGGTTTCTGTACACTACTATCGAGGAACACAGCATAATGTCCAGAACCAGCAGAAGAAATTTACGAAGCAAATCGAATCAAATCAAATCAAACCAAGATACACACCGTCTTAACTCTGGATATTCTATATCGATTGCTGAATAGTCGCGATGCAATACCGCTCTTTGAAATGGTACCGCGGATGCGGCCCGCCGCGGGCACCGCCGGCAGTTTTCTGTTTGGGCAGCTGCAGTCGGTTGACCGTGGACGCCCAGCGCCGTCCTATCTGTATTCCTTCACATCCTCTCCGAGTCTAACCTCCAGCTTATTTCTTCTCTCAAGCACTTGAAGCGACCCTCACAGTATGATCCATCTTGCCCCCCATGTGTCCACAATCTCCCTGGCTTCATCCACCAGACCCAGGTCCAGCAACAACTGCACCGTGCCGCGAAAGGCCGAGTCCACGGCCGATGAAAGCCACGCATGCGTATAAGCCGTATGTTCCCCAATAAAGATTGTCCTCAACTCAGTCTGATAAATTGCTGGCAGGAACTTTTCTTGCTGATCGCCAAGGGGAGATGCCCAGGCTCCACCTGTGAACTCATCGTTTTCCCAGCACAGACGCTCGTATACTCCTATCAGACCAGAAATCAGTTATCTTCATATCAATGCCAAGATTCAACCCACATACCGGTGAACTCTTCATCCGCAACTTTCCCATGAAGGCGAACCATGCCCCGCTGCGCCAGAGCCACGTGATTTGCCTCTCCCAGCGCAGACATCGTCCGGGCTATATTACCAGTCGTGAAGGAAGCTAGAACCACCGCTGGGCCGGTGCTATTCACTTGATACGGGGGATAGCACATATCGCCGATACCAGGATAGTTGTCCTCACGGGCGCAGCCTCGGTATTGCGCATTCTTGCCGTCTTCCCAGAATCGTGTGCGGTATTGCAGTGCAACTTTACATGACTGTGTGAAATGCAGCTGATGAATGGCTCTTCCAAGGAGCTCGGGGTATTCCGGCAACTCCCAGGCACGCACCATACTGAATGGAGCAGCGACAACGGCAAAATCGTATTGTTCTCCCACGGTCTCCGAGTCGTTTGGATCATCGCGCCAAAATACGGAGATTTTGTTTGTCGATACGTCATGGCTCAACCCGCTGATTCGACGGCCCAGCGTGATCTTATCTGTTACATGAGGCGTGAATGCTCTGGGTAGCGACTCGAAACCTTTGTCCAGAGTTTCCCAGCTGGAGGCAGCGAAATACTTATTCCAGTACAGGCTCTCCCAGATAGGTGTGTCTTCCCGATCGGCGATGTAATCAATCATCTGATCCTTCGGGCTCAGCAGCTGACGCAGGTATGCGCCTTCAGACCAGTGCGTACTTCCTGCAGCCAGTGCAGCCTTGTGGGCTTGAAACATCTTTTCAGCTAGGAACTCGGTATACTTTTGTTGATCGCCTTCATCCAGGTCTTTAAGCGTATGGCTCGGCCCGTCCTCTTCATCGGTAATCACGTCGAAAGGAAGGAACTCCATCTTTAACTCCGGGTGGTGGTCGGCATTGAGCCGATTGAGCTTGTCAATGAGACTGATCACTAGTCGGTGATCTTCAAACGGCAGAACCTCGGTGGTGCCGGTGTATCTGATTTTGGTGGGCAGTCGCATGGGGCCCATGTCAAAATATTGATAATCCTCGGGCGAGGTGCCATTGAAGTAGCTGGTTCGGATTCGACCCCCAAGACGCTGGGAGGCCTCATGGATATGCCAGTTGTGCAGTCCGACTGAGCTCAGCAAATAACTGGTCAGAAGCCCCGCGATGCCTGCGCCCACGATAGCAATACTGGAATTCTTCGCTGCAGCGCTATCCACCACCGCCTTGGCGTGGAACCGCGCTCGAGTGTATTCGACCGCATTGAACCAGATTACAGAGTCCTTGTCGATATGAGACTCCTCTCGAGGATGATCTGGCGCTTGTTCCAAAGAAATAGGCGGCGACCGACCGACCACGGCGCAGCCGTGAAAAGCTAGCAGACATTGTGACTCCTTTGCATTGGAGGGTACGAACCATACAAGCCGATCTGGGTGCTCCGTACTCTGCACCTCGAAGCTTCCCACTATCTGAGTTGCATCGGCTGCTTGTTCTAGATCACAGTCCCCATAAACGATATGGAGTTTGCCTGCAAAGCTCTCATGCGCGAAATTGAGTTGGATGTTTTGAACAGACCCAGTCTCAACAAGGTAAGGCCCGAGAAATTGAACCAAGCTCGCGTCTGAGTGACCTTTGTGTGCCTTTGCCCGACCGAGTGGAAATTGCAGGCCTAGGGTGAGATCGAGTCCTGGGAGGAGAAAAAGAGACAATAATTTGATATTCATCCTGAAAGTATGCTTGACAAGGAAAACAGTTCCAGGCTACTAGGATGATGTCCTACTATTGGAGTACAACCCCGGCTGATCTCAACTTTTTATGTTTTAACCCGTTGGTAACATTTTAGGTTGCTTGAGCCATTGCACCCATTGCCACAACGTCATTCCGTCAACAAACACATTCCATACAGCCAATCAAGCTGCCTATGTCGGCTACATTTACTCGTACTTGCATCGAGCTCC